TTTTATGTTGATCCACAATGTTGGCCCCATCGCACAAGTTTAAATCTTCATAAATCATCCTTATGATGTAGGTTTTTCAGCATCTTTTTACACGTTTATAATGCAAAATCAGTTTTATGTGTTCATAGTTCACTTTAGTTTTCTGAGAGTCTCTTTTTTTGATAAAGCTGTTAGTGTGTTACCTAGCAGTGAAGAGCCAGTTACAGTCTGTACAGCAAATCCGCAATAAGAACGTACAATATCAGCGTGTTTCAAAAACGTACCCGACAATAGGGCTGCTCGATTATGGCAAAAATCATAATCTCGACTATTTGGGTCAATAATTGATTATTAAAAACGATTATCCATTTACTTTGAAAACATCAATTTATTGGAGAAAAAAAAAATTGAACCGTTGATTACCCTGAACTTTAAGTATAATTCAACTGAAAAACCAATTAAAATTAAAAGAAAATAACCGTTTTATTTCAATTACGTTGTTTTCGTAATTGTTGCAAGCCATAATCGTAATTGCGATTTAAAATACGATTTAATTGAGCAGCCCTACCCGACAATCATCAGTCAAACACACTAGTAAACTTGTACAGCTAGTTTTACACACAGGATATACCCAGCTATGATTCATGCAAACTGCATTGAGAGCGGGGACACCCAGTACCATTTCAGACGTGCCCAGTGCTTTTTCCACCTCTGAAATCCTAGACAGGCGGAACATCTCATCAGTGTGACAGTGAGGCAACTAAACACCTGACAATTTGGGTGCCACATTCATACCCATGGGGATTTAGATGTGGCTATTCCTGTGTGCATATACTACAAAACATAGAAATCCTTTTAGGAGTGCAACCTGATAGAGTATAAGATAACACATGTATAAGGATATGGTTTTTATATAAATCTGTATCAAGAGGCTGGGGATTGTTCATGAGTTTTGCCACATTTCTTGTAAGCTTGTATGTTTTTCATTTTTAAAAGTGAATTTGTACCCTGCTAAAACGTATCTGTTGTTGAATGTATTATTAATGAGTCAGCTGAAAGCCTGGTGCTTGTTTTCAGTAAGGCTTCATTAAGATTATCTGACAAATCTCTAACTAAACATAGGCTTGTTTTTATATCAAAATACCAAAGTCTGTTTGCCAACAGGACTCAAGTAATTGTTTTAAAGAGTATACTAGAATATGTTTGGCAAAACAAATCTGAGCATGTCAAGGACTTCTTTTCTTTTTTTTAATCTTTCAAATTGTATCAGTGTCCTTTACTGTGAAGCGCTTCAAGATTTGTCTTGGCAGATGAGAAGTGCTATATAAATGAAATGTATTATTGTCAAAAAGGGATTAAATTTAATCTACTGTGGAACATTTTTGGAACATTGTGTATCATCACTAATAATGGACTTCTCTGGTGAGATTAGCCGCTTTCACACCAAGTACTTTGCCGTACTTAGTGCCAGCACTTAGTACCCCCATGGAACTAAGTAGAGATCGCGTTCACACCGGAATAAGTTCCCTGAGGGAAGATTACGCAAATGAAGCCGCTGTCATCACTTCTTCTTCTGCTTTGGGTTTACTGGCAGGTCGCAAACCACGTCACGGCGTATACTGCCACCCGAAGTCCCCGGCCGGAAGTCCCCGGAGTTGGGGACTGGCTTCAGTAGAAGCTGCTGGGACTCCCAGCAGCTTCTACTGAAGCCTTCCGAGTAAATCGCCAGAACGCCGACACCTCATCATCACTCCACCGCTCCCATGTTTTTTTTGTGTTGCCATAAGTTATTCTCTCTCCGTTGATCTGCGGGGCTAATGCTAATAATGCTAATGCCAGCAAATACAATGGCGGCTTCACAAAACTTTTCAGAGTTTTACGAGGCGTGGTTTGCAATTCGCCCAGCCAATCGAAATTGGTACTTTTTTTCTCCCCAGGATACTACCACCTCTCTAGCAGGCACTAAAAATGGGGGTAAAAGTTCTCGGAACTAAGTACTCTTTTTGGTGTGAACGCAAAATTCCAGGCACTATCGGAACTAAACGGGAAAAGTACGGGGAAAAGTACTCCGGTGCTTTGCCAGTTCAAAGGTCAATATTTAACTTCTAAAGTTTAGAAACTTGACTTTTTCATAACTGGAAGATCCCTGGAGTGCATTGGTGTAAAGTTAGATATACAATGTGGTGGTTGTTTGTGTGGCTAATGTTGGGCCATGAAATAATGTACGTGTTACAATGTGAATACTAATACGTTGTAGATTCTGTTGAATAGTTAAAAGCTTAACTCCAGGTTGAAGAAATAGTTGAGATCCATGCTGCTTAGATTCTTTTTATAAACATTTGCTTTGTCAATACTGCAAATTAAGGTAATAGGAAACAGACATAAATAACATTGTCATCAGTTCAGTTTTATCGCAGGCTGCTGGGCAGAGAGTCCATGCCATGTCCAGCTGACCCTCATGCTGTTTCTGGTTGGCAGTGTGTGTGAACATCCATAGCCTTGTCATCGATCCATGGTCAGGACCTGCACTCTGTCCCTTAGGTTAGCTCTGTGGAACATTCTGGGCTCAGGTCCCAGAGAATAGTGACATGTCAGCAGCCCATTCAAATGAACAGGCTGAGGGTAGCACTATATTAGCAGTGCTGGGATGGGGGATGGGGAGGGCTAAAACTGGTGCTGTGTCAAACATTGCAGGGGTAGACCAGGGAGCGTGGCTCCATGAAAGGTCTGGTGTTCCTCCATAGGCTCTGAGCTCGGGACACAGTGAAACAATATAATACTGTTGGTAAGATAAATGAAACTGCAGCTTTCTTCTTTAAGGTTGTATTTGTTTATGCCAAGAGGGTAATTGCAATGTGAATTACTGTCCCCGAGTACACCGTGTCCTCAATCCAAAATCATGACATTGTCAATATGGTGATATGAAGTCATGTCTGGCGGTAGCAAGCCTTAGTGCTCAATTCTGATGTATTGCTCAAACAAATGTTGTTGTTATGATCTTAACATTGCGTTTTAACAATCTCGACTATCAGGTTATTTTTAAATGGTCACGGTTCGTTACTGACACGTATGCACAAAGAACAGTTACAAACATCACAGGCAACACAATGTTGTACAAAAATAAACATGCAGTATACTGAAGTCAGCTTTCACAAATTCATGTATGAGTCCACATTTCTGAGCTAATGATGACAACGTTAAGGATAACATGTCCTGTTGCAGTGGAGCTACCTCAGTCAGGAGAAGTGTGTGTGGATTTGGAGATTTCTTGGCTACGTTTGGGGACCATGAATGTCTATGTAAATGATCATAAGCCATCCAATAGTGCAATCGGTTTGGTCACAACACGAGTTGTAAGCAGTGACCATTTGCTACCAATTGAAACTTTCACTTATTGGAGGGGTGAGTGAAGGGAAGTGTCTACTACTTCAGATTATGTAAGAGTTTCTCAGAATCTAGCATTTCTAGCTAAACTGTGATGGTTTGGGTAGACTTTGCATGCATCCACATCTCAGAAAGGTTTGGTACATGATCATAAAGCTAAGAGTCAAATCTCCCGATAAATAGCCATATTTGTTCGAATTCAAGAGTCTAGCCAGCCCATATCTGGAGCCCAGGGTTGGTTGTAAATACTGATTTGGACTTTTTAAGTGGAAAAAGTGTGCTTTATACATTTCAGGACAAAAGGTCACCAGTCTTTGTATGCATGCTCCAAATCTCTGGGTCAGGATCAGTCAGGATTTATACAAAGCGCGTTGTGTCTTTTAATGGGCTTGACCTCCCTTAAACGTTATGCTCTCACTTGATCAACTGTGATCCACTAAGCCAAGGAAGAAAAGTAAAATACCTTCCTCTTTTTAATATTCAGGTTTACTTCCTACTGTCCTCTTGTACTTTACAATCTGTTTCATGTTGGTAGCATTTTCCAATGTAATGTTTCCAAACAAATGATATTCAACACTGAGTTACAAATCCTTAAATCAGCTTCTGGTGTCACAAACACTTCTGAATATACAGATTAGGTCAAAAACACATTGTTTTGTCTCGATGTGTTCTGTGTGTACAAACAGTATCAGCACATTAGTGTAGCAACAAGGTTAGCCTTCTTTTTATTTTTTATTCTGTGAATTGCTCGATTTCTTTGTAGAATTCATCTTACGGAAATGAAAGTGCTGAGTGCCTCTGGTTTAATTGAAATGGAGAAACTGAAACCAAATGTGGAGTTATAAGAAATGATGATAAATCCATAGCATGGGGTATCCCCCTGGACGGTGGATTTGATAGTGAAACGCCAAAGAAAAAACCCTGATCAACCCTTCCTCTTCTGCATTTCCAAAACAGACCTATCTTACAGAAGTGTATTATATTAAACATGCCATCTTAATTTGCACATTTGACTATCATAAATATATAAAGTGTCTTTGTATATTTGTCATAGATGTAAGGCAATTGTATCTGTTTTTAAATATCATTTTGAATAGGAAGATACAAACTTAACTTGGATTTTTGTGAATGATCTAAGCAAAACTTGACACGCATTTATTATACTCTGTACTGAAATCTGGCTGCATTTGTCTTCATGATGTGAGTTATGCTAATGCAGATTGAAATTGCAATAGCAAAGCTTTGAATAGAATCATATTAAAGTTGTGGTTTCTCTGTGGCTCCTTTAAACAAATGGTTTAATGTGTTAAACTGGTTTTTATGTTGGAGCTACATTCAGCTACCTATTCTTCGTTACCCTAGTTGGAAATAAAGAAACAGGAAATGATGGTGGATTTAGCTCACAACCATTTATGAACTGATATTGCAGTGCTTGCCACAAGCCTATTGCAATGCTTTGCCTTTTATACATTATTTTGTTGTCTTTTTTAACTCGTAAACTTCTCATATACAAATACATTTGTAAGCAGTTTATTGTTGGAACCTCAACCTACAGTATAAGATGGATTCTCATTGTGAATTCTTTAATTGTGGTTATTTGAAAATGATCTAACAATGCTGTTCTTGGTCTTTTATAGGTCCTCTCATCACGACCATTGATCAGATTTAATGGAAACCAAGGGGTAAGAATACATTTTTCTCTCTCGCTCTCTCCTTCCAGGGTGGTCTTAAAAAGTATTACAAGTTGATAAATCAATTTAGCGAAAATTAAGGCTATTAAAAAATTAAACTGCATTTTCCAAGCTATTACATTTTGTAGCTTGTTTTCATTAAGTATATGAATGGTCCAAAGAGGTTGTATTCTAAAGTGTGCCTGAATGTAATCATTGCGTAGGTGTGTAGTGTGATTCTGTGTAGTATATTTATGGCATCCCGTTGGATTTGACGTCATCTGAACAGGACATCGCGCGCTCACTGCTTGATAGCGCGCGATGGTCCGTTTACGCCGGTTGTTAAACAACATCGTTATGGGGAAATGCAAGTTTGCATCTCTTGGGAACAATGCCTAAATCAAATACTACTTTCTAATGGTTTATTTTTCTTATAAACCTTGCATTGGGTTGGTCACACAATTCATTCTCTTGTGCTTTGTTCTATCTGAATTATGATAAGGAGTTTTCACCAGCTGTTAAGTTGTGCTATCTTACAATCAATACTGTATATAGTAAAGTGTGTCGCCAATGTAAGCGGTTGGAATTCGAAGTGGCGATGAGGTCTTAAAAGGTATTCCTGCATTCGTAATTTCCTCATTCAATGCAAACTGTGTTTTTTGGTTCATAGAGATAATGTTAAAGAAATAAAGTATTTTTCTTTTATTCATACGGGCAATATTTTAGTTGGCCAGATGGATTTCAAATTACAGGTGTCTGAGCCAGAAATGAATTTAGATTTAACATGACCTGCCTCACAGAAATTCCGAACTTTCAGAAGAGCATTTTGAAGTTCAAACTCCAACTGGCGTCTTTACAAACGGGCACGTGATCATGCCAACATGGGTATCATTTTCAAGCTAGCTATTTCCTCCACCAACATGACACTCCAGTGCCATGTCTTTAAAGTGTCTTCAAGAGCAGTAGGAAAGCTGCTTCGGATTGAATGATGTTCTTTTTGCCATCATGTGTCAACAGAACTTTTTATAAGGCACTATTTCTCAGCCTCTCTTGGCACAAGATTTGTTTTATTTTGGTTCCTAAATGTACAAAACGTCAAGTGGGCCTTTTTTGCATGGCAGGCAAAATACTCCCAAACCTATTTTTTAATACATGATAAGTTCTCACTTATCATGGAGCTCCAACAAGGTGTGTAGGACAGAGAGTGAATACACATACTATACAGAGATGCTGTATGAGAAACCAATGTGATTTTGGAACATTGAACAATGTAAATCTATTCTAGTAGACCTCAACAATGGAATTATGATCAGTAGAAATGGCCATGTCATGGGACCTTTAATATGACTAGTGGTAAAGCGGCTTTAGCTAGAGCACACTTAAGAGAGGAGCTGCTATTTTCACTACTGCAGCAAAAGTAGAGTTACATCAGGGGCAAGTCAATAAATGCACACGGTATGCTAAGTGTAGGAACTAAACAAGTTGCAATAAAATAGATTGAGGATCCTTATTTCCCACAATGGAAGAAACTGCCTCCTTTTCTGCAACTGGATTCTGGTTGTTTATGAGAATGACAAATCTCACACGAGGGCCAGTACTCTCTCTATGAGCAATTGTCTCCTCAAAGACTATAAACAGTGTGTGTGTGTGTGTGAGCCAAGTTGACATCCACAAATATTGTTCATTTAGTGACCTCCTTTTATGTCCAAAGATTATTTTTGTGGTTCATCTTTGTACAAAACATTGTTATGAGCGGCTGTTTGTAGGCATTACTGGTCACAATGCGTCCAATAGCAGGATTTCTAGCAGCTCTATCCTATGTTTTGACATATATCCTACTCCTCTCTTCCGACAGATTCACTTTCAACCTTACTGCCTACTCTGCATCCTGTGAAGGGGTTGACACTATAGGTTATCAAAGGTCATCAAATATGCTGTAACATGATTAGCACCATATCCAGAAATGCAGGTTGAATGTCTGTCCTTGGGGTAGACGTTTGATAAATGATTAACCTTTTGTTTTACCTGTTCTTCTGCACATTTCTCAATTTTCTGAGGAGGATCTCTGAGTTGTTTACTCTAAAATGCTTCATGGTGAAACATTAGAATTGCCACATCCTCAGATCTCAGGAAGGTCAATGTTATTATTGGCCAAAAGAACAAACACTTAGATGAGAGACTCAGCACTTGCTTCCTTTTTTTTTTTTAAATGTTTTAAAGTTGTTTTTTTCTGATTGGTGTGGATGACTGACACACAAGAAGAGAAAAACAAAATTGTAAAAAAAAAATCGCAGGCTTTGCGATTTGATAATCGCATCATTTAAAATTGCGATTTCGATTTAAAATCGATTAATCGTTCAGCCCTAATTTCTACATTGGCAATAGAAAGATGGATGGATCCGCTGTCAGTCCGGTAGATGTTGGAGAGGGTGCTAACAGTTATCCATAATTGAAAACACTTTGTCCAGTGTCGTCCTCTTCACCAAAAGTGTCCAGTTTGCAGCCATTATTTGAGCATCTTCTCGGATTCTTAAAACGAATCATGCTGCCACCCTGCTTCAATTTTTTTTGTATGAAATTGTGAACAGTGCTGTGAAATCCTGCACCGAGCCAGACCCGCCATCAATTGTTTCAGTGTCTGTTTTTAAATCTCCTTTTTCCGCAGGCATCGAAATAGCATATGTATACAAGCATTACAGGCATATGTGTCGTGTTTACACGGTAAACCTGATGTTTAGTATCCAAAGTTCTAATGCTGAAGAGTGAAGGAAGGCATGTATTTTTCTGGTGCAGCCGGCTCGGTGTGTGGAGGAGAATCTGTCACTGTTATCAGAATGGTAGTCAGAAGGGAGAAAGTGGCTAAATGACAGAGCAGATGGCCTGGCTGACTGAGCTCACATATATTCATTCACTCATATTCATTCATCTGGTGCTGCTCTCGCTGGGCTCTGACTAAGTGCACACTCGCATAACAAGTTTCCTACATGTTTTGCAAAGGAGAGTATTTAAAGACACAAAACAGGCAATTTAGCGAAAAGTCGGAGTTTAGACTTTAAGTGACAAAATGGTGTATACAACAGCTACATTAAACACGTATGATCAGTAATAACTCAACACGGTCGATGAAGCTTCTATTAACTGTCTAGTTGGAGAGTTAATGGAAGCTTCAGAGCCCAATCAGCCGTCATTGACACTAGATGAGCCTCATCCACAACTGATGTCCATTTAGCACGTTTAATTGTTGGCAGAGGCAGTCGGAGAGAGAGAGCTCTGAATGGCTCTTTGGCCGAGCAAATCAACAGTTTACAATAGTTTTCCAGCCAGTTTTAATCTCCAATGATGTTGTCTCCCGAGCCAAAAACCACATGACGACAAAGCCAACACGCTAAATCTTTAAATTCCAGCTACAAATGTTATCTGAAAATTAGATGGAGACATTGTGTGCGTTTACATTGTTGTATAATATTAGGCTATTTGAGTTTTTCGTCTGCACCATCAATTTGGGATAACAAATACAGACTGCGGATAAGTTAATAAACAGAAGACAGAAATTAGGCGACATGAAGCAAAGCTTAATCTTTGATGTCGGCTTTGTGTTTCTGGCCTCAATCAGTTTTGTTGTTGTTCTGCCTCTTTGCTCCTTTTCTCTCGCCTGTTCTTGGAGAGAGGACTAGGTGAAGTGCGTGGGGGCATTGTGTGCTAGCTGCCATACAGAATGAGAAGATGAGGCTAGCTGCAGGCAGATTAAGGAGGGGGTGGTTGAACACCTGTTGAAAATCCACTTCCAGCCCTAGAAAAGCTTTCCAAAGGTGATCATTACTTGTAGAGATAGTGTTTCATTGTCAGTCTTTGCCCTTCATCCAGTGTTTAAAGTCGTCTCTTTAAAGTGTGCCTTTTTCCCTTGCTCCCTTACTTTAGCTTTTGTGTCAACAGCTGGCTAAAGCTTTGATAAACACTTCAACCGATGCTGTTGCATGCAAAGTTTTTAATTTGCAAGTAAAACCGATTTAAAGCTGCGGGTTTATTTGTGTTTCCTTAGACGAGAAAGCAGTTGGGTTCACATTAAAATAATGTTCGTTTGAGGTTCCCCCGTCCACAACTAGATGTTACCTGGTTCACCTCAAACCCCTCAAGATGCACCCTCTACTTTTCAAAAGTCCAAAACATTGACATCATATTTCAATGCTCAAGATTGAACATCACATTAGAACAACTCTTTTATAGTCCAGGTATACTATAAACTAGAGAAAGGCCAACTCATTGACAAAAAAAGGAGTGTCAGCTTCCACCTTGTGACCCGCTTTGTAAGAAACTGCACTTTATCACGCATGAGTAGGTTAGTGTATGCATATAGTGGGTTTCAACACTCTCTTGTTACTTAAGCCTGAGCCATTTGGCGTTGAGAGGCGTCTTTTATGCTCTACAGAGTGAGTCAATAGAGCCTCTCCTTTTTGTTGGTCCTTCTGCCTCTTAATCATGTCTGGGTTTACACAATCGATGTTTCTGCATATCAGCTGTGCATGTAGGTGTCCTTAAACACTGGCATAGGACATGTTGCCATATTTAATGTGTTCAAACTGCCACACGTTTTGTCCTGTAAACTCAGGAATAGAATCTGACTGTCACATTTGAGGCTAGGCATATCCTCCAATACACTCTTACAAGGAATTGATTGATCTTTATTGGTCCTGGAATAAGCCATTTATACATGATGTATTGGGCTTTGTGTGAGTAACCGGAGTTGCTTCTGTATTTGCTGTATTCACATTTAAAGGGGCCCTATTATGCTAATGTTCATATTTGTATCTTGTACTGTGACATGTTTATATACTTTAATGTTCAGAAAGCTCTATTGTCTCATACTGCCTGTGCTGCAGCAACTGGCTGGTTGAAGGTTGTAGCAACAGTGAAAATATAGAGCAAGAACATGCAGAACTTTTATCATTTTAACATATCTTTCTTGTTGCCCTCAGGATGTTCTGCTCCTCAGACGTTTCAGATTGTTCTTTGTAACAGGATTTAAGTGTCTTTTTACATCTGCGGCCAACAATGTCTCTACATCCTGTCATTTAAATGTGTACTAACCTATTACACAATGTGGTGTGGGATCGTCCGCTTCCTGTGTAGCACTTTGAATTGCCTCGTGTTGAAAGGTGCTATATAAATAAACTAGCCTTGCCTTGTGTAAATTGTTGGTTATTGTCATAAGGATGATAATAAGGAGTTGTATCGATTATTGATTTATCTGTATGAGGTAGAGTGCGGCAGATGCAGTAAGTGCGTTATGTTATGGAGCATTATGGAAAACTAAAAGCAAAGGTCTTCCAGGGAATAAAATAATCAATACATAATAGGACAGGCACACATAAACGGATATTGTGGTTATTTGTAGTCAGCCATATTATGCAACCTTCATGTGTTGGGATTTGAGTAAACAGAGCTGATCTGTCTGACAGCACGTCTGACTCCTGATGAAGAGGTCAGTGAGTCATCGGCTGAGCCTCTGGTGGAGGTTAGCTCAGCTCTCACTGGTCAAGAGGAGCTGAACTGGGGAGCCATCTAATTCAGCATCTTTTGTTACCGTGTGATGCACAGCCTTGATGCTCATGAAAGCAGAGCTGAGCTGGGGTTAGCCTGCCAGGGCCTCGTGGAAACACAACCCTCCGCCTGACCTTACCTGCTCTTAAACTACCTTTCCTGCTGGTTTTCTCTGAACTTATCAAATTAATTCACTCGTCAATCCTTAATGATGGGGTGTGAAAATAATTTTGAGGTGATATCAGGTAGACTTAATTGCCAAGGCAAAGTTTCAGTGTCACCCTCGGCTCTCTTTCACATTTCTCTCAGATTACTGACATGCCTCTGTGCACCGCATTCAAATGTTAACCATTTCACCCAGTGCTCAATGCAAGATGTATTTTAAAGCAGAAAACTAAGCATCTGCATCATAGTTGTACAAATGATTTCCTCAATTTAACCAAATTGTCCCGCAGCCGTCTGATTACTGGTTCGCAGAGTTCGCAGGGAGGAATAAGATGTGCCTAACTATGTTGAGGCTAGACACTGCAGAAATACCTATCATAGTTCTTCTGTTATAGTCATTTACCTGCGGTTCCTCCAATCACACGTTTGGAACACTCTGCCGTGCTGGAGGAAGACAAGGCAGCAGATTTTAGCTGCATTTTTCTGAGGCTTTCAGTGTTTTTGAAGCAGGCGAGAAAATGCCTTGGGCTTACTGACAGATGTACGTAGTCTGAGCCAGGTTTTCAAAGAATGGAGCGCTGGCATTTGCTTTCTGAATGCCTCAAAAAAGAAAATAATTGTTGCTGTATTGTAAAAGGTTTTGAAGGCTCTGTTGCCCCTTGTTCTGACACTCGCTAATTAAAAAAGGGCATAGCTCATGGCGATTTCATATTTGAATGTTTTATACTTCTTTTGTCTTCAACAGAAAATTTCAATACCACGGTCAGAAAATTCCAGTGAACTGCAAACGTTTACTTTCTACCTGTCACATGTGGGCAGAGATAACCCCCAGGGCAGCTTCGACTGCATCCAGCAGTACATCACCAGGTAAAACAAACACTGACTTTCACTCACTGTTACTCCTTTCTCATCAGATCTGCAACAAATCTTCTGCAAAAACAGATTTTCTGACTAACATTTATGTAATACTGTCTTTGAGGTCTGTGTGAATAATCAGCAGTCTTTGGAAAGACAATGAGTGTTTTCGGGTAGCCTTTATTTTTATTTAACATTTCTATAACGTGAGCTGAATCCCTGATGCTTAATATCGGCTCTGGTGAACACAGTTGGGATTTTGGCTGAGCATAGCTGCTACTGTGTGGAAAGGTGCACACATGATGTCTATAACATTGCATTACACCAGTATCATGCACATGCCTTCTTTACTTTCAGTAAAATAACTTAAAAGGGAAATAAAAGTTTAGTACCAAATAATTAAATGTATAATAGATCTTGCAATAATTTTAAGTTTGAGGGTTGCAAAAATAAGAACACAGTTGTTAAATATATTTTTTGTGCATGCATCTTTGTTTTTATGCATTTAAGATCAATTAAAAAGTGTTTAAAAAGATTTCAACTTAGTGTGTAGGTCTTGCTCTTGTTGCAAGTGATGTGTCCTTTTAATAGCATCAGGGGCCGTCCCGTTCTATGCATAAAGCTTGTTCTGCACACTTTCTCTGGCATAACATGGGCAGAAATGTGCTTGAAATAAATAGGACCAGATGTTTGTCATGAGGGGGAAGGAAGTAGAAAACAGAATTGGAAACAACAAAACATTTCTGACTCTCAATGACCCCATTATTCATAGAATATTTGTATCAAGTGGGTCAGGTGGAGTTCATCCACATCTCCGACTGGATCCTAATCAACCTTGAGTTCCAGTCTAAAGCCCAAATGACGGAGCTCAGCTTCCACTGACCGCTCCAGCGCCATCTCATTTTCTGCCAAATCCCCACCGGAGTAGAGGGGAATCAAAGAGCCGGGAAAGAATGGGATTTGATGCGGCAGTGAGTCGTACTGTGGGAACACACAGTTGGATGGAAATTGTAAAAATAATAGTTGTTCCCTCAGGGTGCTTAATGGAGCTCATCTGGGAAGGAATGCACAGAGAACAGACGGGTTATTACAAATGGGGAGAGATTCTAGGTTAATGCCTAGTGGATTTATGGTTTATTTCCTGTCCATTTCAAATAACTGTCAAACTTATCAAGTTGCAACTTCTTTAAAATAAGGATATCCAATCTTTTCCATCCTATTTCTATTGAAGCTACTGGTCACTCTATCCTGGTCTTCCTCTCTCACTGTCTCCTCTTTGTCTTTGCAGTGAAGGGAGCGTTCAGCTGGATTGTTTGGGTGGGATCCAGGACAAAATTACAGTTTGTGCCACGGACGACTCGTACCAGAAGGCCAGGGAAAACATGGCCCAGGTCGAGGAGGAGACTCGCAGTCGGAGTGCTATCGTCATCAAGCTCGGGGGGAGATACGTAGGTGAGGAAAAACGGCACAGATGCAAGCAGACCACCTGACTATCACTCACGGACATCCTAGTAGTATATTAAACTCACTTCTTCATTTGCTTAATCAGGAGGAGGTATTTCCCAGTGGTGGAAGAAGTATTAAGATCTTATATTGAAATAAAAGTAATGAAACCACAGTGAAGACATACTCTGTTGCAAGTTAGAGTCCTGCATTCAAAAAAATGTGTACAAAATCTAAAAGTACTCATTATCCAAAGTGTCAATTATTTATATATACATTACATACATACATATATTAAATCGCTCGATGATGATTAGTGAGCATTAATGTGTTCATAATTTAATTTGTACAGCTAGCAAAGGATGAGATAACATTGATAACTTATTATACTGCCATTTAACTCCATCCATAATGGCATATCATAATGTATTATAAATCATAATGTCCAAATAAATGTGAGTAAAACATTTAACATTTGCTTCTAAGAAGTTTAAAGTAACATGGGAAACTCAAGTAAAGTACATGTACCTCAAATGTCTTGAATACAGTACTTAGTTACTTTCCACCATTGTTATTTCCATTTAAACTCCATAAAGTTTTAGGCAGTTGACAAACAAGAATAGACTAGAAGAATATCCGAACCGTGCGAAAAGCCAAATGGCTCATGTGTTTGTGTAGCCTTTCTCTGCTGGTGAATGGGTTCATGTTGCAGTTTGAGTCTGGGGCCCAATGGCGGAGGGCCAGAATGCCTCATCTGTAACCAGGACTTTATTGAATTTGATGGTGGTTTGCTTTCTAAATGCTCTAGCAGCTAATGTGCCACAGCACACTGATCCTCTTTCTCCCCAACCCCTGTGATTGTAATTTAAACATGCAGAGTTTCTGACTTCTTGTTTTGGTCTCGGACCTGCGCCATAAAACAAACCGTGCTGCAGCAGCAGTAGCAAACCACAGCAGCACTGCCTCATTGCCTGCAAAGAAAGAAATCCAGTGTTGGCCTATTCACTGTTCAGCAGTGAGTCAACAAAAGTCTAGTCCCTGTGTGCTGTGGAGCCAAACGCTGTTTCAGGCTCAGAAGAAGGCAACACAATATTAAGTCTAAATCACCTGAAAAAGATCTCCGTGGGATAAGGTGATAAAAGCGGATGTGTATAATGGAAGGTGGGGACGTGGCAGCACTAAAGATCAGTGCCTGATGCGTCTTATCTGAGTCATCTGCAAGTTCCCAAAGCCATTATCAGTCACTGAGATAAAAGATGTTGACAGACATTTATTTCTTGCTTTGATCTTTGTTATTTCTGTTCTTATGAAAACAAGCAGGCATTGGCTGCCAGCCCACAAGTCACTCGGGTCCTCTGCCACCAGCACTTTTGTTTCAGTGCTAGATTGAAGTACTAAATGACTCCTGCCATTTATACTCAGAATAATACAAGTCCTAAAAAAGTAGTTAAGATAAATTCAACCTTTCTAATGCTCCTACTTCCCTTCTGTAACTTCTGCACTCTTAAGGTAAAAAGGTTCAGATCCGGAAACCGGCACCTGGCCTCTCAGACGTCGCCCCGCTGCGGAGGACGTCCCGGCCCGTCATCATCTCGAGCAGCACGCTGAAGAAGGGCACGCCTCAGCACAGGCCGCTCAGAGAGCGCCTCACACACCTGCTGGCCCTCAAGCCTTACAAGAAGGCTGAGCTGATCCTGAGGTTGCAGAAAGACGGCCTCTTGCCATTGGACAAGGACTCCCTGGATAGCTACCTGCAACAGGTATTGCAAACACATTTATTGCCTCTGTTTCCTCTCAAAAACTGAGGAGTAGACTCACGAGTCCATCTTTCTGCTCTCCCAGGTGGCGAATCTGAATGGGAAGGACAACACCTTCACATTGAAGGACAATTTGTATAAGGACCTCCAGATGGACTGGCCAGGTTACACTGAAGGAGACCAGCAGCTTCTCAAGAGAATCCTGGTTAAGTAAGTCAGAGATGTCGACCACTCGCTTTAAACGCCCTCATGATGATTCTCAACAGCCGTATATCAGTCAAGATTATATCAATCACATCAGAAGTTTAATTTTATGAATTGTTGCTTTGTAAAACCTAAAATAGTTGGATAAACACTAAAAACCCTTTTACCGAGATTCAGATGGCAGAATTTCTCAATTTATTTTTGATTGGCATTTTAAAAATGTCTTAAATCTAACTTGCCTTATGCTGTATGAACCCTGAGTAGAGTTCAGTATTGTGGCAAAGCACCTTGTGTTATTGTTTGCGGTCACTCTGTGGAGAAGGCTAGGCTGCAGGGTGAGTGCTTCTGGTATGCTGGGACTATAGAGCTGCCAAGCTTTGTAGATTTCTGTCTGAGGTTAAATTCTGTACACTTGAAATGTATGTGGAAAAACCCACCTTTTCTACTTATTGCAACGGCCGGTGTGTCCCACCCCCAAGGAAGTTTTCTGTTTGTTCTACTGAGGACCGTGTTGTATTTGTTGACAGCGTGAGCTACTGGCCTTCTTCCTAGTGGAAGAAATGTGGTTTCTCAGGATCTGGGACACCAAGGGAAGGCAATCTTCCTGCTAACTATTTATAGGCAGGCAGGCAGCAGTGCTCCGGAGCTCAGTTTGTGTTGACGTCAGACTCAAGAATAGCCCCTATTCAACATAATAAGCTCAGTTTTACCTGTGATGCACCTTTTAAAATGCAGCGTCAAGAGTGTCAACACTGAGTGACCAGCAGAATGTAAACACTTAATGCAATAATCCTGCAACATATACTACTTTATAAAACGTAGCTGATATGTCCAGCTTTTGTTGAGACTGCTGCTAACATAGTTGCATGTTTTGTTTTGTGGAAAGGTGTTTCTGCTGTTTATGTCCACCAAATCTACATGGATGGAGAGCAAAAACGACCTGGCAATATAATAAATGTAACAACACAATCTAGCCTTTTCAAAGTGGCATTAAAAGTGAAACATGAAATAGACTTTTACAATGTTAGTTTTTATTACAGTTCTACATTTCTTTAATTCCAGTGTATTGTATTTAGTTTGTAAAGGCATGAATACTTCCCGTGTCCCTGTTTTTACCGTACTTTGAGCTCCGTTTGTGAGTTAATCAGCTGACTAACAGCCTCCAAACTAATACCACCCCCATGTCCTCCAGAGTTTTGAGCTAATGCAGACAGTCACGCAGGAGTAGCACAGCAACACGATAGGAACGCACATGATGCAACGGTGTTCTAGCACATGCTGATCCGTGCGTGAGATGGCTGCCGGCCAAGGTTCAGCCATATCGGTCGGCGTGCTGTTTCACTCGTAGCTCCTGCCTGTCTATCTGACTGTCCCAACACACACACACCCTGATTGAACTAGGGTGGGGCATTGACAAGACTCGCTGTTCCCAACTGCCCCCTTCTGATGCAGTTGTCAGTTGTGTGTGCAAAGTGTCCTTTAACATGTCAAGTTATGACGGCCTGTTTGTAGAATGTATTTGTACTTTAAACCAGTCTGTTTGAGCAAGTATACTGCGCTCTAGCTGTAGTGGTTGAGTTGGCAGTGCTGGAGAAAGGGTGTTGATATTTAAATTACTCGGGGCTGTCAGGCCATCAGATTTTCACGGTTAAAAAAACTCATGATCATGTTTCCTGGAAAATCTGAAAATACAATGCTATCAGTTAAATCAATCTTAAAGTGTATTTATTGTTTGTTTTGGGTTTTTTAATGGCAAATCAATTACTACATAATACAAGTATAGGGAGTTGGAGAAAGATTCTGTTACTGTACAAAAGTGTATATTAAAAAGGCAACTAAATGAACTGATTAAATCAACTAATGATAATATATAAAAGCTTTATGTATAGCACTTTCCATACAGTAGCTGCTGCTGAAAGTGCTTTAACAAAATGGCACGCATCACAAATTAAAAGACAGCAATTGATTCAAGTCAGGTCAAAAGTTTAAACCTTTTTTAATAGATGCTGAATATCATGATAATATAACAATTCAAGGACCAAAAGGAGGTTAAAAACGGTATTATTCAAAAAGTAAAAGACCACAACCCTCTCAGTCAAACAAAGGAAGACCTAAGCTGAAATGAATAACCCATGCCTAACATCTGCCAATATGATATTATTATGAATTATATCAACATTATGTGGATAATAAAAATGTTTTAAAAGTATTGTGGTCAATATCATTATAACCGGTATATTGGAACAGCCGGAACTCCCTGAATTAAATCAAAGTAAATTGGATTAGACTGCATTTGTTTAAACAAGACTGGTGTAGCAACGTCTTGCCCTAGTTCGGTAGGCACCTTTTATCTTGGTTAAAAAGCTTTTTATTAGGCACTGCTCTTGTTTTGACACTTCTACTGTGTGCCACATTAATCTGATACATAATGAGGTCTGAGTTCAGTGCATCATCAATCTGGGGCTCTGTTGTTCACACCTGACACTAAGGTGGTTTTTGGCTCTAAGTACATTATAGAGTTCAATTCAATTCAAAACCTTTATTTATACAGATAAAACCCATTGAGATCATAGACCTCTTTTACAATGGTGACCTGCTTCAATTAGTTCCAAACATTAATACAAACATGACAGAAAACAAAGGACATTATATGATACTACAGAGTTAAGTCGTCTGTATGAAAGACAGTAGTGCAGTGTGTCCCTGCTCCTTTCAAATGTCCATGTTGCATAGAGTGCATATTGCATTAAGAGAGATAAAACTCTCAAACAACATCTATACCCAAAATGAGCTGCAGCACCATATTCTGTCTCTCTCGCTTTCTCTCTCTCTAAACAGTGTCACGCTGCTTTCTCACTCATCTTGAACTAGCTGCCAAAATTGTTCAACCATTAATAAACACGCAGCATTGTCTGTGAGGGTACACATGTTCCTCTGTAGAGAAGAAAGGAAGAGTTGGACTCATAAACTGCTATAGAGCTTGTAAGCAGATTTAATGATTGTCCATTTTTCAACATCAAGGTTGCGGTTATGACCAAGTGCTGCTTTTGTCAAGTAGGCCCTCATTTGCTCTGTTGTCATAGCTACCAAACTGTTGGAACTTGTTTTTAATGTCCTCATGCGTCTGTAGAATTAGTGACTGAGGAAATGGTAGCCACAGTTTGTTTTCAAGCACTTAAAGAGGACGTGCTCATTTTCAGGTTCATATTTGTCATTTAATGCGACTGCTCTGATTGGTAAGCTGGGCGGCTCTGTTGTGATTGGACAACCACTTACAGATGTCCTGCCCTTTAGCCTATCATGTACAATGTGCTGGAGTGGATAGAAATGCCATGTCACCTCAACATCTAGATAGATAGATAAATGAGTGTTCCTGTAGTGCTTGTATGCAGGTGGATATATAGAATATTCAGAAATGATATCAAGCGTTTAGTGGTTGCGTGTGTCGTCATTCATACTTTCGTGTGTTCACACTCTCTTATAGGAAACAGAACCAGCCCCCCCCTCTGGAGAGCCCGCCCAAAGAGCTGGCCGGCACTTCGCCATCTCAGGTGAGCTTCTTGTTTCCTCGTCTCTCACTTCCTCACACTTCCTTATCCCTAATCTACTGTAGCACTCTCACGTTCCCAGTGGGCTAGTGATGGATGATATTGTAACTGCAGAAAACAATTTCAAGCTAAAAACCAAATAATCGTTTTGCAATGCCGGTTTTTATTGTAAAATAATATGTTTATAGGCTGTTCAATACTGAGCTCTCAAGCAGCTTGATGTTAATTCAGTCGAGTGTGAATACGCTCTGCATAGCTCATCTTTAACCAGAGCTTGTTTGCCTGCGACTTTTCTGGCTGATCCAATGTAAAGGGGAATCGGGGACAAAGAAGCGTCTCAAATTATTTATTTATTTTAGATTTATCCCCAGGTTTCCTACATTCTGGTTTACTGGGTCGTGCCTGCAGTCTTTTAGCTTCTGGTATTTCCCAGGGAGGATTCTTCTAAATTCTCTTGCTCCCTCCAAACTCTGTCGTGTCTGTTTTGTGTTTCCTCCCTGTCTTTCCAGTGGATTTCCTTGCGGAGTATGTTTTCTAAACGGGATCCAGTTCCAGCTTTACACACTTATGGGCTATTCAATATACATTGTTTGTATAAGAACTAAACCAAGTTGCTTCCATATTTAACATCATTTGACTGAAGCTCTTTTACCCCCTCCTCGTTGCATAATTCATTTTTCATTTACCTTGTCCTGCTGCTCTCTTTTTAAGGTCATTCGTGACTCCAGAGTTTAGCCATTGTTTACACTTCCATTAGGTAGGAGGAGGAGCCGCTCGGTTTATATTAATAGCTCCTTCCTCTCAGGTTCTTCTCACCTCAGACACCTAGTGTACGGCCCTTCCTTTCCGCTCCCTCCCTCAGTAAACACTGTGCACAAGCAAACAGTACCCCCGACTCGTTTAGAATTATTAGTATAAAAAGACAGCAGCGCAGCAGGTAAAGCTGTTTGTAAAACGTCAGATATGTGAGGGATGGAGCCGGGAGAGCTGCAATGCAAACAGAGGGCGTCCACACAAACACAGATAAATGCCTTGATCTACTGTTAGTGGAAGATGTGTTTATCACAGCCATCTTATCAATTTAACTTTTCTCCGGCACCTCATTCTCTCAAAGATCCCAAAAATGTGTCCATCTGAAAATACTGATGTATAGCCCCTATCTGCATCCATGAAAATATACACAAGCATTAGAGCCATGTTTTCCCTGTCCAAACTACAACCTCACAGCCTTTTCTCCACATTTCAGTGTCTTCAGGTTTCAGTTTTTTGGGTGTCAAAAGATTATAAAGTGAGAATTAATGAGAGGGTAGGTAAGAATGGAGAAACCAGCTCGAGTGCACTAGAATTTGAAAGTACACAGCCGAAAAGAAATCTGCCCCTTCCTTACAGAGCCCCTCCTCCACACACGAACGCGCACATGACCAATGAGGGCACAAGATAAGTCTGTGCACAGATGGAAGGCTGACAGGCAGGTAGGCCATCCAGTTATTTTAGCCGGGCCGGCTCAGATGATTGGTCGTGGTTTTTACAGCGCTACGGCTTCCACAGATGACTTTATGTATTTATTGTCAAAGCATTTACTTTATTCATTGCTATCGGGATGTTAAGAGCATTCCATGGAATATAACAAAAAGTGTTTCTGAAGTGAATTACCTACCCCACCTTTAACCTTAATAGCTTATTGTAAAAAGAGTCTTATTGGAATCCTCCCTGTTTGCCATTACTGTTGTTGTTGTTACAGCACCCTAAACCCTAAAGTAGTCGTGGTGGGTCGGCCACTCCCAGAGACTTTAGTTGGGCTGGGTCAAACAGAGCCCGTCACAATACCAGGGATTATATGACAGTCCTTATATTCTCAGTGCTGCTGTGAATACAGATCACCTTTCTTTATACTCTTTCTGCTTCCTCCATCTGTCTGTGTGCACTAGATACTCTCCTCTTCACGCTTCCTTTTGACATCCTCTGATCGGAACATTTTATTATCACGGACTGTTCTTTACCTGCTGCTCACTTATTAATGAATGAATCGACATTTTAGATAAATGGGCAATATGGTGTAATCTAAAATCACAGGAAGAAAACAAATCTCTTTAAGCCTAAATAATGATTTAAAATAAGAATTAATTGTGGAGCTGCAGAGATGGTTTGTAGAATTTTGTATTTCTTTATACATATCTGCCAGGCTCAATCAATAACAATAACAAACATATGTTGTAATATTGTTAATTTTTAACTAATAACTCCATGTATAAATACATGTAGTAGAGCAAAAGGTACAACATATGTATCCTGGCCTACAAATTATATTCTACAAACTTTATAAAACAAATGTGCAGATCCTCTTAAAAAATCACACCTAAGATATTTATCAATGATAAGAAAAAATGTATATGTTGGAGGGATTATTTTTATGCGGGTCTTGAAACAAAGCAGAGAAATGATGACCGTTAGTGGCCACAGGGCCGAACGACGCCCCTTAGCTGTGATATAATGAGCATATACCACGGCCTGTCGTGAGCTATTGCTTAATCATATTGCAGTATCAGTTAAAATATTCAAAATTAGATATTTTTTCTAAAATGTGCAGCCATATAATTGAACTCCTATTGAACCATATATAAGGGTTCAGCTACTTAAACTGTTATTTCTCCGACAGAAACGGCCGGCTGCTGACTTCACCGACCCTCTTGCCAACAAGAAGCCCAGAATATCCCACCTGGCCAGCAAGGCTGCAACAGCCCCAGTGAACGGCAAACTGAGCTCCTCCAACGGCAGAGTGGAGACGGGCAACGGGAGAGTGGAGACGGGCAACGGGAGAGTGGAGACGGGCAACGGGAGAGTGGAGACGGGCAACGGGAGAGTGGAGACGGGCAACGGGAGAGTGGAGACGGGCAACGGGAGAGTGGAGACGGGCAACGGGAGAGTGGAGACGGGCAACGGGAGAGTGGAGACGGGCAACGGGAGAGTGGAGACGGGCAACGTGAGAGTGGAGACGGGTGCAGCGCCGGCAGCAGTGGCGGTTTCCATGGCGGACAGCGGCATGACGTCCAGCTCCCAGCAGCTCCCGGTGCTGGACATCCCTCGGCCTTTCGAAGCACTGTCAGATGTCAGCAACGACTCCAGCCACAACGGGAGAGACTGCGACTCTCAGGAGACCGCCATGTCCGAGAGGCTCAGCCAACCGCCGCCTTCGCTGTTCACGGCCTCAACAACGCTCACAGCGCCCAGCATCGTCACATCATCTCCGGGACACACGGGCCCGGATGTCCCCCGGGACAAGAGTCCTTCAACCTTTATCAACAAGTCCAAGAAGAAGTCAAAAAAACATAAAGACAAGGAAAAGAGCAAAGACAAGGAAAGGGTGAGAGAAAAGGGGAAGGAGAAGAAGAGTCGTGGGGAGCGAGTGCAGCTAGTGCCTGAGCCGAAACCTGCCTGTGACATGAGCCCAGCAAACCTCAAAAGCAACAGTATTCCACACAAAAGCACAGGTGGGAGCAACACACACACACACACACCCCCACACCCACCTTCTTCTTTTCTACCAAATTCAGTTTCACAGCAAGAGATTTCTGAATAAAAAGTACTACTTTGTATGTGGATGAACAACACTTAGTCATCCACTGTGAGTAGGTGATGTGTCATGTGACCAGTATGTGACTCACTGATTAAATGGAGACCCCTGCTGTTCATCTTTATGCCTTCAATAACCCCAAATACACTCCTGTGAATCCAACTGGAAGCTTACATATTTAGAGGATATTGTTGTTAACAATAAAAACCATAATTATCTTTTTCCAGGGTAGCTTTTCCACGGCAGATTTCACACAGACGCGACTTATTCAGATGAATGCCCTTTTTATAACGAAGTGTCTTTGTTTCAGATCTGAATGGGATGTGCAACAGTACCAGTATTCCTACGTCATCACCTGAGGTGCCAGACTATTTATCGTGAGTATTTAACGCAGTTGTTTTCATTTTGACAGTTTTAGTCTTTTGAAGTTAATGAATTGTTTCATTGTTTCGTGTCGGTTCCTCTCATAAAGTCTCCCCTCTGAAATAACCCCAACTTCTTTTGGAAATAAATATTGCCACAAACCTTTTCCAGAGGGGCAAAACACAACTTGAAATGAGACCTAATTAGCTCCGACGAAGGGTGGGATTATATGGATTAATAAATATGTCCTGCATGACATGTGGGTTTTTGGTTATTGGGTTTATTGGACAGCCAACCTAGTTATTTGAAATGTTGAAGGGATCCTAAAGCTTTTTTTATTTGTTTTTGTGTGTGCGAGCTAGTATCATCATGTCCTTAATCTGTATCTCTTGCTTGTCTCCCTCTAATAACCGTTATTTCTCTCTCTTGAGCTTTCATGTAACTGGATAGCTCCTCCCTAAATCCCTCAATTATTTTCCTCCTAGGAAGTACATGGTGATCGGCTCTCCGGAGCAGCGTCAGAAGTATAAAACCGATTTCAACGCCGAGTACAGCGAGTACCGGGGTTTGCACGCTCGGATAGAAGGCATCACCAGGCAGTTCACGGTGCTCGACAACGAGCTCAAACAACTCAACCAAGGCACAGACAAGTACAAGGTACATCCCCTACGCAATGTCATTTTTAGCACTACAACGATCCACCAATCAGTTTTATTCTTACACTTTATTCTGTGTGTTTTCTCTCTCTACAGACAATCCACAATCAGATACTTCAAGAGTATCATAAAATAAAAAAGGTAAGATTAAGTCCGACTATAACATATATTTCTGTTTTAAAGTACGTAAATAGATGATCAGATTGTGACTGTTTCTCATGTCCCCTGCAGACTAATCCAAACTATAGCCAAGAGAAGAACCGCTGTGAATATCTACACAACAAACTGGCACATATAAAGAGACTTATTGCCGAGTACGATCAACAGCAGCTTTAGAAGTAGTTATTGCACAGTGTTTACCTGTTGTCTCTGGAAACCACGCAGATAAAGGAAAACTCTGGACTCCGCCTGTGCTAAAAAAGTGTTCTCATGAAAGATGCCATGAAAGGAGTATTCCCCTCATTGGGGCCAAAGGCTCTAATGAGGAATAAGCAGGACACACAATCTTTTTCTCTTTAATTTTATTATTTTTGTTCTATTTTTTGGAAGATGGGGTTGTGCCCAGTGTGGCCAGGTCCGTCTGTGTAGTTACAATGCATTCAGAAACAAAAGTTCTGTGTGGCTTTGTTTTTCTCAACAGCCCACCCTGAGGTCTGAACGAGACAAACGTGGAAACTTTCCCACTTTCTCGGGAGAAAATCCCCCAAAATCTTTCCTGCTTTTGAAACTGGAGGGAAGGGGGGGGCAGACTGTATGCCAAATGCAACTAATTTGTTTTTGAGTAATGAAAGGATTCATCAGTTTCCCCCATATCGAATGGTTATGACGTTGGAGTCTCCGTTTTTGTTTTATTTTTATTTATTTTTGACACTTAAATTGGGGGAACGAATTTTACACTCCTTCATATCAGTACTTAAAAGCTGTCTCTTCTTTTCTGTCCTCACATCTTGAATGTCCGCCAGTATTTTATTCAGAAGCTGCCTTGCTCATCTAATTGTCAAATCTGTTGGCGTTTAATATATGATTTCTCTTTTAAAGAGATGCAGATATACCTTTTTGATTAAATCAAGCATCCAAATGCACACAGTCGGACGCCTGTTTGTGCGCTCGGCTTTTCTTTTCTAAAATATTGTGCAGATGTCTTAACAGAGGGGACATGTGAGAAAGTGTCCCGTCACTCTTTAGCGGTTTCCTTCTCCGAACACTGTCCTCCTCACTCAGTCGTTACAAGCTGCAGTGCTTGTTCATCGGTTACTACAGCGGTCTTTACTAATGGTTCATCATAATGCATCAATGGAAAACTATAATCAGCTCTTAATTGGTTGTCTTTCCACTTTAGGTCATGATGGCTTTTGTAGCAATATGAATTATCCGAAGAGTTTATCGCCAGGCCTACTCTTCATCATGCTTCAGAAGATCCTCGAATTGTAAGATGATGCAGACGGGGGAGGCTTTTTTCTTTCATCTTTAAAAAGTGGTTTATATCCACAGATTTGATTTATTTCCTAAGTTAGCATTAATGTCCCCTTTAGTTATGTTGAAATGGTGTTTACAGTTTCTTTAAAAAGATCATAATTTTAGTTTTGTCTGCTCATCGGCCCATGTGATAGTCCATCGAGACGACTGTTAAGATGAAGCCATCCTCAATCATCCTCCGGGGGGTGGGGCGTACGCTCACCTGCGACCAGTTTTTGCCTTTTTCAAATGTGATGTCAGATTTTCACGGACCTGAAATCTATTTCCTGGATAAGCTCTAAGAAATGCCGCGTCAAGACGTATCCATGACGCGTCAAGACGTATCCATGACGCGTCAAAACGTATCCATGACGCGTCAAGACGTATCCATGACGCGTCAAGACGTATCCGCTCGGCGTTTCCGAAAGAAAAATTAGACCTGCTGTATCAGAACTTCCCCTGATGAGTCGAGTTTGGTCAGCGAGTGCATTTCTGATATCGATCTTTTTATGTGAATATGAAAAATCTGCACTTTTCTCCTGATCTTACTGTTACCTGGGGGTTTTGTCCAAATGACACTTTTCTCTTTGTCCATCAGAGTGCATGCTTTATGAATGTGTTACAATGAACAAGTCTTTGTATCTTTACTTGAAAAAGAAAAAAATAACTGCCCAAGGATATCAAAAGCCAAGCAAAGGCCTAGCCCAACTGAATTCAGTTTGTAATCAATTCGACGTGGCTCTGACCAGCATGTATACCAAAGTGCTTACCGGGTGGGATGAAACAAAAACGCTCTACCAAATGTTGGCAAAGGAACATGTCGCAGTATTCTCAACTTCCTGTTATCATTTCAATGTTCATTTATCACCCAGTGGACTTTTTCCTCAGTGTTTTTCTTGTGAGAAGTCAGAGGAGGCTCCTTTGCTTCTGATGAGATTTGCATGACTGTACGGCAGGTTTCAGATTATATCGCTCTCCTTTTGCAAACACTACATTTAGGCCAATGCTCCGAGACTCATCACAACGATACTGCTGAGTCTGGATCTGGGACTTAGTGTATCTGGAAAGGCGTTAAGTTTGTAAAGGGGAATGTCTTGTATGGCAGTACAGACACTTTCCACCTCTCTTACTGTATCTTTTCTTCTGTTACGTTCAAAATCCATTGTGAATGAGTTGATCAGTAAAAAAACGTTTTGCACCACAGCAAACTGTTTAAGAGTAACGATATGCCAGCACAGGAGTACCGTTGTATGAGTTGATTGTGCCAAAATGACCTGTTGTATAGGTTTTTTCTTTTCTTTTTCTTTGAGTATATACATGCTGCTGTATAAGCAACGAGGGCTTTGGAGAGGAGTCGTGAAATGTTGGCGCTAAAACCCAAAGCACGCCTTTTTGAAAAACCATAAGGGACTGGGACTGAAATTGATCTTTGTTTCAATAAAAAAATCTTTAAAATCCTTATTTGTGAAATTCTGAACCAGTTGTTGCTGTCAATTATTATTACAAGGTTACATTTTATAAGTGGAAGACTTTGGTTGTTTTGAGTATTTCTTTTTTATTAATCCTATATATTTTTTAATGGAGAACATTTATTGTCTTGAACATGGATAGCAATACCGTGAATGACACGGGTGTTTTGTGGGTTTTGTTGTAGGAGGAAAAGACAAAAATATGTAACACCTTTTACTTTGGAGAGTACATAGATCAGATTATTTCAGCCCTAAAAGCATTTACTAAAACAAAGTAAGATGGAGTCTGGTTTCTCCTTTCCATAAAACTATACAAAAAAATCATAAAAACTCGGTATTTGATTATTTGCTTGACTCTTTTCGCACTCTTCTAACATTTGTTTACAATTACTGCAGCCTGTATTGAAAAGGCTGTCCTGTAGATGGCAGCAGTGTCACAGGTTTAGTCCGAAATGCCGCCACACATGGTGCAGGGACACTTTGTTTTTGTTCCAAAAAAGAGACAAATTCGCTAGAAACATTTGGCTCGCTCTGCTATCCTCAGTTTAAATTGTTTAACCTGAGGGTTAAAGTGTAACAAAGGGTCAGCGCCAGCCTCGAGAATCTATTTTACTCCAAGGAAATTATGGAAAATGTTTAGTTGACCCACTCCTTTGACTATGTATGGTAATTGGGCAGTATTATACGTGTTCCTAGAGACCATCCTGTTATAACCCATGACTGCATGCTGTTTACTGCCAAGTCTTTCCCTTGCACCGAAATGCAGATCCCAAAAAAGGCCCTCAGCGTGTGAGTGTGAGCAGAAGATCTGCAGCGGTGCGAAGGAGAGGACAGTGCTGCTGTAATCTGACACACTGTGAACAATCCCAGAAATCTACATAGCGACTGCGCTCCACTTGGCCCTGCTTCGCCTCGCTGTGCTGCTACTGGCTGCTGCTCAGGGAGCTGGGGTGGGGGGGGGGTCCCTCCCAGGTCAGAGGGTTCATTGTGGCAGGCTGCCACCTCCCCTCAACATACAGCAGTGCATACATGTGTACACACATTGAAAAGAAACTGAGAGCTCTCCTCCCCCTCAGTGTTCCCAAGGTTTTACTTTGATTGTATTTGTCTGGGCTTTCAATGTAGATGGTATGCTAACAGAGCGGGTTGGAGCTCTAATGGTGAAATGTAGGCCACGGTTGAAACAAAGGTCAGTCAATTATCCGAGGTAATTGGTTTGTGAATTGGCCATGAGGGTATTTCATAATACATTCTAAAATGGTTAATTTGTCTATATATGTAACCTGCACATTGTACATCCAAAAGACAGCAAATAACTCTCACTGGCATCCAAATATATCTGACTCCCATCAACTCCTTTGTTGACTTAAAATATGTAGTCCAAAACAGTCAGTCATAGTCAGAATTAATACAGATCAGTTCATTTAAAATTATGCGAGCTAATGTGATTTCTTCAACATTAAAAAACGAATCAACGTTGTCATATAATACAGAACGACATGTACGTTTTTTTTTTTTTTTAGACATTTCAGCGATAGGAGTGACAGTTGTTTTTGTTACTCTGCCTCCTGTAGCATCCTCTGATTTTGATTAATTGTGTGCTCATGCTGCAGAGAATTGAACACACAACAGCAGTCGTGCACACTACTGTCCACAGACCTGTGTGCAGGTGAGGGTTCAAAGCACAGAGCAATAACCAGTTCTGCTGATTTACAGCCAAACTGCTGCGTGCAGACACCTTTTGTCATTTTAAGTGCTGGGAAGGAAAAGTTCAATCAATCTCAGTTCCCCCTCTGGCTTTCTTTTATCTTGTTATTGCCTGTGTTCCTAGTCCTCACAATAAACATGTAACCAATCAAATCCCTATTTTACCTTATTTAAATGTATCTTCTTGAATACTTCCTTGTGCACTGTTTGTGTTACTGAAGTTGCAGCTAGTTGTGTCTTGCCCTTGTTGACGATGCTTCAGCTTCATATGAATGCTAAGAACTAAGACAAGTGTCATTTTAAAGAGGATTGATTCCCCTCACCGCTGATCTTGTTGTATACACTATATTCTCTTCTGATTACATTGGCAATCAGAAACACACAAAGGTGCAGAGCAGAGTCAAATTACAATTGGATGTTTTTTCCTTAAAGTTGAATGCATCTGTGATACTTAATAAAAAATATCTTGGTAATGAGCCATTTTGTAGCTGGTCGAGTTAAATGAAATTGGTATGAATATTATCTAAACTACTATTACAACTTTGAGGCTGAGGGGAATATTCTTTTGATCTTGTTTTGCATATGGAGAAGAAAATGCTGTTCAAGGGTTCAACCCTATGGTTCAACCACACTGTACGACTCTTGAACAACAGTTGTTTATACTTAGACAGTTGTCCTCATTTAGGACTGATCAGTCCAGGTCTATTGATCGTGATTCAAGTTTAACCAGCGTTATGCTTTTCGTTATCTTTCACTCTTTCTCCGTCTGTAAAAATATGTATCTGTATTAAAGGTCAGTTGCCGTCTCTGATGAAAGGTTTATTAGTTCTTAGTTAATGATTCAGCAACATTCATACTATTGATGAATATTGTCAGTAGGGGCTTGGACTGCAAGCTGTAGGGTCGCCGGTTCAATTCCCCGACCAGACCTAAAATATGGAGTGTGGACTGCTACTTGGAGACGTCCCAGTTCACCTCCTGCCCTGCCGTGGTGCACTTGAGCAAGGCACCAGACACCCCCCTTCCCCCCTCACTCCCATTGCTCCCCGGGCGCTGTACAATAGCTGCCTACTGCTCCTAGTACTAGACTCCTGGTACTAGGATGGGTTAAATGCAGAGAACAAATGTCACTGTGTGCTCTCTGCATGTGTGACCATTAAAGAGGGGTTCATCCCTCCCAATTCTATTCAAACCAAACTTAGCAACATGTTCAGGTCTTTGAGCATGTGTGTTTTCAATCCACTTTCTAATTCTCATCCTTATTTGAGCTTCTTTAGTAATGGCAGTGGATGCATGGGATAATCTTCAAATCCTGTTCAAACCTACTACACTTCCACTGAAGTTATATTACATCTGTAGCACTTCATTTAGCATAACAACACTGAACTATTACAATCAGCTCTTTTAAATATTAACAGTTTTGAATCATTAAAGTTTTATTTATTTTTCTTTGTTCTCTTGGATTCATTATTAATTACGTGTATCATTGCATTTTGTGCTTTATTTTGTTCCAATGCAATGGGATTCAGCCCACTTCGTTTACATCCTCAACTCTTTAGGGAACTGCATTTCATTGTGTGACATCTGTGTGATATTAATAGAACGTCTTACTTTGGCAATATTTCAATTACCTTACTGTGTTTCCATCAATGCATTCTTTAACTTTTGTTTTCAGCAATACTGTGCAATACATAAGAGCTTTAAGATGTTCAGGCAATTCAATTATACATTACCAGAAATGCTTTGCAATTTGTTTTAGTTGTTAGCATCAAAATGCATCTTCTAGAGTGAATGCCTTATCTTGTTTACTTAAGTGCTCTGAGTTCAGTATTTACTACTATGTCTAATTGCTTTCAAAGAGAATGATGACAACTTGTATTAAAGTCCTAACCAGGAGTAAACTCTCACTGATACACAGAGCTGTAAGAGACTGTGCAGCCCATATTCAGTACTAACAGCTGATATTTTAAATGAGCTCACATCCAAGTGTAATCAACATTAATAAACTTGTGCATTTCATATTGACGTGCTAGTTCTAGGACCCAGGTGTTGAACTGACACACACTGCTGTCTGATGCGTGACCGAAGGTCTGCAATGAGCGAGGGAGGGAAATTTAAATATTATATAACATGATAGATATTGTGAATATGTGTGTTGAATAGCCTAGTAAAAGCAGATTTTAGCCAAAAATGTATGATTTTGACAATACATAAACCTTCTCAGACTATATGATGTGGCCTATAATTAAATTGTAATTTTCTGTTACATTTGTATTCTAGTAGCCTACCTTATGTGATTAAAACGTGCCTTTATAATAGCAGAAGTCCGCATTGGTCAAAGTTTAATCTCATGATGAGCACTCTAAATGATGTTCAATCAAGTTTAAGGTACAGAGAGTTTATGCTGGTCTAGTATTTATGAAAGGCTGATTAGTCTTAGTCTTGTTTAGATGTATTTCTTTATGAGAGCCATGTCCACCTGACATAGCCTATAATATATAACACATAATAAACATGAGTTGCCTTTATATAGCCTATAAAAACATACAGTTCAAACCCAATGCATACACAATTAAGTGGAATATTTATAAAAAATCTTTATATTAAAACAATGAACATTAGCTATATAAATTAACATAACATAATAATCATAATCATATGATTTTTAAAAAAAAATAGTATTATTATTAATATGAAGACTTTTTGTATCATGAATGTGGATACTGTATTTTAACAATACGGTATTCTGTTTCTCACATTTGTTATTTTTTTTAAATCTGTTCGAAATAAAGATTGAAATGAAATCATTTCCTCAAGGCTTAAATTATAACTTGCGAAATTAAACACTAGCGTTATCGTCCAACTCAACATAATTCTATCTACATTTAGCTGACATAAAGTGATTATAACGCCACCTGGTATCACGGTCTCAGTGACGTCGTGTCGTCTCTGCCCCCAGTCGCCCCCTGCCATATTTATTCATGCCGGGCAAGATGGCGGCGATACGGACGATGTGTTATTGCCAGTGGACGTAAACAGGCATTTTAATCTAAATACAACCCCTAGTCGGATACATTTATCAACTTCACCGTGTTGTGTGGGTGTTTACCCCGCAACCAGTGCCGGCGTCTTTTTTTTTATTTCACGCGTTTCCACGTTTCTTTCTTACAACATGTTCACGTTGTAGCTCGCTCGCTGAACGACCGGCTGGCTAACAGAGAGCAGTAGCTAGCTAGCTAACCACAGCCAAGCCGTGAAGTGGAGAATGGGAGAAAAGCTGGAGCTAAAGCTCAAATCGCCGGTTGGAGCCGAACCTGCTGGATATCCGTGGCCATTACCAGTATACGTAAGTGTTGAACCTCAAATCCATACAGGTTATATATTGAGATTTAGTGTCTGTTTCTCTGGGCTTTGTTAGCTAGCTCTTTGCTAACATTGGCTAGCTGAAGGGAGCCATGGCACGCTCGTCCGGGTAATCACTCATACTGGTCGGGACGGGAAGGTGACGGACATGAGGCAGCTCCCATGACTGATCAGCAGAGGTGGGAGAAGTACTCGGATCGTGTACTTGAATGAAAGTAGAGTTTAGGAATGATCTGTCACAGGTAAAAGTACTGCAATCAAAATGCTACTCAAGTAAAAGCACATCAGCATCAAAATAAACTTAAAGTAAAAGTACTCATTATGCAGATTGGCCCATTCTCTGATAATATATTTCATGTTTTGATTGTAATTATGGGTGCATTCATGTTTTATCAAAGATGGTCAAAGTTCAGCTATTTGTCTTTACTTTGTGTGCTGCATGGTAGCATGTGAATGTTACTCCCAAAAACTAAAGGTATTAATTGAATGTAGTGGAGTAAAAGTATACGATGTACCTGTGAACTGTTCTGTAGTAGAAGTACAAGGTAGCAAACAATAAAAGTACCTCAACATTGAACACACAGTACCAATGTGTCTCTGTTATGATCTGTCATGTTCATACTGAGACACCAGGTCATGTATTTTATTTGACATGTATATGGTGTACTTAGTCAGCATTACTTGCACATTGGTCTTGCAACATTATCTTGCGCTGTTTTAAAACACAGTTTCAAATAGAGCATTAACAACATAAAGCCCTCTCGCAAAGTCTCATTACTTTCATCTTGCAAGAGAAATAAACTGGGGCTCATAAGCCCCACATAACATGGATATGCTAAAAACACATGTAAGTGTTAGTACATTAAAAGGTCATGCCTGTGCTCTCGGCACAGATCCTCCATTCGGACACCAGTAAACACACACACAGGACGCACACACATAGCGAGGTGTGTGTGTGTGTGTCCTATGATTGAGACCAGCTGGTTTTGTTTGTTGATTTCTATACATTAGTGTGATCCATGATCTGTCATTTCTGAAGTTACTCATTACAAACCATGCTTGCTGGTAGTTATTTTCTTTAAAGTTGTATTTGATGTAAAATGCTGTCGGCACGTGAGTTTCTGGTTGCAGTTGACTCATTGAAGACAAACGGAAAGGGAAGCCGTTGTCTGTTCTGTGATCTTTTTAGTGTTGTATGGTTCACTTAAAATTGTGCTTTTCATTTATGGTAATTGTGGTGACACATACAGGTCTGACTGAGAGTAGCTGTATTTCTCAGAATGTCTGAGTGGGGTCTGTCTGAGCGCTTTCTCCACCCACACTGAACCCAGATAGACTGGCAGTCTTGTCATCTCGAGATTTGTTTTGTTCATCACATCATGATCTGAATGAGTCTCAGAGTTCCTTGCTGATGTGATCAGCCGCTCCACTCTGTTTGGCTGCTAGAGTTGACCCTCCCTTTTACACCAGGCCACAATCTGATATCACTTACAGTTCCTCCCTCCTGGATTCACTGCCTCACCCATTTCCTTATGTGAAGCTCTTTAAGGACAAACACAGAAGCAGGCATGTCAGGAATGTATACAGTTTAATCTAAGGTCCTGCTTGATAACTATTTATACTGGGACTTGCTGTATGTGGTGCATTGTATTAAAACAACTGATAGTCCTGCGTTTGGAGTCCTTGGCCTTTTCATGGAGTGCTCTCCTCCTGTTTTCAAAGAGGAAAGACTTCCTCTCTTCCCCCTTCCTCTCATGTCCATATGGTCAACTCAACAGGGAGGAGGGTAAGAGACTGCTTCCCTTTAGCAACGCTTTATTAATAGACTTAAAAAATGCATGGCAGTATTTGAGCTCAAATGTGGTTTTTTTCACAGTTTTATACTTGTTTAAACTGCTTGCTGGTAACAACAGATCCCACTCATGTAGATGTATTCTTCCCTCCCACAGAGCATTAAGATCGCTTATCTCACCCACAGAGAATGAACACAGTGCTGTCAGTGTTGTGATGCACACAACATGGCCGTTGTACAGGCTGTTGCAATATAAGGCGTGCTCTTATTCTAATCCAGCTCCAAGAATGAAGCCCATAAAAGTACTCTTTCTTTCTTTAGCTCTGTGTTTCTTCCTGTCTCCCCATTTCTCACTAAATCCCCACATCTGTGCATCAGTAAATACTTCCATATGAAGGACACTTCTGGTGTGCTGCGGCTCTTTGTCCATCTGGTTCTGGGTGTGAGCACTATCTAAGCCTATATAACACTTAAAAAACACTCTGAGCTTAGAAACAGCTGAATGTCTTTGTTCGATCTCCTTCTATTTACAAAGGCGTAATGACTGTCAAATGAATGTCAAAACAGTTCCTCCGTATGATTGTAATCATCAGATACTACAATTGAATGTTTTAAGAATCTCTGTTAAAGAGAGATAGATGTGTGTCTTGTTTTAGATAGTGATGTTGTGTGAGTTGTATTTCCTGGTTAGAGTAACATGGTGTGAGTGGCACGCCTGTCATTTGTTTTCGTGGGCTGCTCAGGACACGTAGTGGAGCAACATGTAGTGTAAAACCCCGTCAACCACAGTGCGTCACAGTGACGTTAGGAGAAATTGACTTAAAAGGTGATGTAGTAAGGAGGAGTCGTTCATGCGACGGTATAACCACATTGGGGAGAGAGGAAGGTCTCCTGTTCTTTATGTCTGACTTTCGCTTTCAGTCGGAGTTTATTTTTAGCTCCAGCCCTGTGCTGGTGTTGCTGTGTGCCGTCTTTGTTTGATCAGATGACACCCCCCCCCCCCCTTCAGCTTCTCATTCGCTCGCTCACAGTCTCTTTCATATACTCACACACCTTTTCCATATTTAGCCGAACACAAATATGCTAGTGAAGATTTGTAGGTCATGGTGCTTTTTAGGAACACAGCAAGCAGTTAGCTTGATCATGTAGCTGTAGCCAAAACTGCTCTGTGCTGACACAATTAGTAGATTTCCTTGTTGCCATGCATTTCTCAGAGTCTGTCCATGTATTTTTGAGCTTTGGCGGAAGTTTGCGTAGTGTTGGCGGGGGTTATTGCGCGGGAAGCCGTGAGCTCCAGGCAGTGAGCAGTTAGCTTTGGCCGCCTCAAACAGCTGACAAACAGACCTCCCCTCCTCTCTCCTGCACCCTCACTTTCACCAGTTTGTTCCAGCTTTCTTCCTTTCACTTTCTTTCCCTTTCTACCCTCTGGTTTTTCCTCCTCTCGTACTTTCCCCTCTTTTCTGTTCCCTCTACCAGAGGCATGGCAGAAAGTGGGTCAGTGGGTCAGGACACAGGCTCAGGCAGGCTGCGCTCTGCCTGTAACTCGATTCCTTTAACTCACACAGAGCTGCTCAGCACACTCTAACTCTGTTAACTAACTATAGCTATATAGACTATAACACCCCTTGCTGTTAAATACCAACCAACTATGTGCTATTTGTGCAATATATATAAATATATATGCCGTTAATAACTGTGCAATATATATACCTGGCTGCTAAATCCTAAGAACTGTTACAGGATGTGTATTTTGTAAATTGTGTAACATTTATTATATTATAACTTTTTTTAACTTGAATACTTTTTTATACATGTAACATTATGTAACATTAAGCTGTCTTTGGCTCTTTTTCTGCTGTAACAATGTAAACGTCCCCTCTGTGGAATTAATAAAGGTATTCTGATAGACTTCCTGCAGAAGATCAATGTAAATATTATCTTATTTTATTTAGATTTCTTTTTTCTAAAGTGCCATTATGAACCAGTCTCATTTAAATCTCAGAAATGGTTTGGAATCTTCAGTTTGTGCTGAATCCTTAATAATATTCCTTGGTTAGGTGTACTCCAACTTTTATAAAACTTTGAATTAAAAACACAGCATGCCGTTTTAAGTAAGGGATAATGTGCAGCGACGCGGTCATTATGGGGAAAAGAACACCGACAGGCTGATCAGGAGCCTGACGCGAAGGCTTATTACATGGCCACATTCTCAACAAAGTAACGACATGACTCCCAATATTAATTGAAATGCTTTTATGGATTTAGAAAATTATTTTATTGATTTAAAAAATAGTTTTATGTAGGGCTGTGCAATTAATCGCGATTACGATTATGGCTTGCGACGATTATGAAAACGGCATAATTGACAAAATACGATTATTTAGCTGGGTGCGCTTTCGCCCATCCCTAAAAGCCCACTCGGCCACGTGGGAGTGACATGTGTTGTGAGTGTTCAGCGCGAGCGAAGATGTCAGAACAAGAGCAGCAACTCGTTAAAAAGAAGGGTACAACTATTTCCACTATTTGCAAGTACTTTGGCTTTCAGGAGTCCGACGTGGAGCAAAACAAAGTACAGTGCAGGATTTGTTACCAGGTTGTGTTGGCACCACACGCCAAAACAACCAATCTCTTTAATCATCTGAAATACAACCACAAAGTGCAATACGACCGGGCAATAATACAACAAAAAGCAGACCAAAAAGCAGATGCCCGCTCGACTTCATCCACCACATCATCACAGTCATCGATTCAGGACGCATTGTACAGAGCAACGGCCTACGCGACGAGCTCGCAGAGACACAGAGATATTACAGGTGCCATTACATTTCACATCGCTAAAGATATGTGCCCAGTTAGCACTGTTAGCAACCAGGGCTTTAAGCAACTTGTCAACACGTTGGACAAGCGTTACGCGATGCCGTCTCGGTATTATTTCAGCAGGTCTGCGCTGCCTGCACTATATGACAAATGCCGTGGGGAAGTTGAGAGAGATGTGCCTTCAGCTGACTACTTTGCTACCTAACCTATGGTCTAGCCCAGGGGCGACCAACCAGTCGATCGCGGGGAGATTCCCAGTCGATCGCGGGATGTCTAAAAATAGAACAACAATATTCTGTTATCGTTAATGTCCTGTAACATAATCTTCCTGTGCCAGAATAATACGCTTGAACGCATCAAAGCTTTGTGATTGGCCGGCGTCACCCCATGTGTCGGGGCGTGGCTGGTGGGCAGTGCACTATTTCGCTGACGTTGTTCGTGTCAACAGGAGTGACAGTCCGCACACACACAAGACCGCAATTATGGCAGAAGCAAAAAAGGCCAAAATATATAATTTTCACTCCGAGTGGGAGGATGATTATTTTTGTATCTATTCCAATTCAAAGTCCATCTGTCATCTGCAATGCGAGCGTGGCTTTATCGAAGAAGGGTAATTTAGGAGCGGCATTTCAAAACAAAATAAATGGTCAATGAATAATCGTCAAAATAATCGTGATATCAATTATTGACCCAAATAATCGTGATTATGATTTTTGCCATAATCGCACAGCCCTAGTTTTATGTATTGATTTAAATTGACATGCATCCGCTAAGAAAAGTAGTCCGTTGTTACTGTTTGAACTAACGTAGCAACGGCAGGAGCTGCTTCGATAGCGTTTTTGAGGAGCTTTTTGATTACAGATTTGAAAACATCGTTGCTTGCTTTAAAAGTAGCACAATTCATTATGTCAAACCTTGGGAAGTATCTAGATATCCCTGCCCTGATGCCAAAGTAACTGGCAACTGAATATGTGTCGCCGTCTGATGTCTATGTCTGGACCGCTGCGTAAAAAGGAGGGTTTCTGCCCATTATTTCTCCGCTGTTTTCTTGTCGCTCTTGTCTTGTCACTCTTGTCTTGTCGCTCTTGTCTTGTCACTCTTGTCTTGTCGCTCTTGTCGCTCTTGTCTTGTCGCTCTTGTCTTGTCGCTCTTGTCTTGTCGCTCTTGTCTTGTCGCTCTTGTCTTGTCGCTCTTGTCTTGTCGCTCTTGTCTTGTCACTCTTGTCTTGTCGCTCTTGTCTTGTCACTCTTGTCTTGTCGCTCTTGTCGCTCTTGTCTTGTCGCTCTTGTCTTGTCGCTCTTGTCTTGTCGCTCTTGTCTTGTCGCTCTTGTCTTGTCGCTCTTGTCTTGTCGCTCTTGTCTTGTCGCTCTTGTCTTGTCGCTCTTGTCTTGTCGCTCTTGTCTTGTCAGTTAGAAAAGCAAACTGCATGCAGTTTGCTTTTCGGCCAAACTGTATACAGTTAAATCGAACGGACTTCTTTGTGCAGATGTGAGCGTCCCTAAACACGGTCAATACGTCCTTGACAGTGGTCTGTCTGTTCTGGATTAACAACGTGTCACGTGTTCTGAATTGACCAATCAGAATCGAGTATTCAACTAAACCATGTAATAACTTGAGATAAATGCCGTCAGTCAGGAGAGTCACATGGATTTTAGGCCGACAAGCATTAGGAGACAGACAAAGATGTATTGTCTGGACCCCATGAATAATTATTTAGTAATGTGATTCCTAGAATTACAATTTACAACAAAATTGCTGTTGTTTTTTGAGCCCACACTTGCATTTTTTTCCACAAAGCAAGAAGCCAACAGGATTACAAAGACTTGGGCAGAATGTTATTCCACCCCGGCAACCTGAAACATAAATCCAGGTGTTTCTGAGTGCTGTGTCTACACACCCCTGTATTTATGAACAAACTGACACTGAACGTACATGATACATGATAATTATATTAGAATGCTACATTTGAGAGCCGGCTTCATACATACTGAGAACAATTTGGTGTTAAACGATGAGCTCCTGAGAAGTCTAAACAGCAGTCAGGGACATTAGTGCTCATTGTTGTGTCTGAGAGATGTTACTGCCACAGGAGGACGAATCTGATATAATAGTTGTGGTGGCCATGGCACTGTGTTAACAATAACGTGTAATTAAGTTATTTCAGTGGGCCTGTGTTTGTAATTATGCATACTTTACATTAGTTACATGATATGCATAGTAATTAGGGGTGTTGAAATTAATCGTTTCTACGATGCGATGCGGACGTGGACGATTCTGCATCGATGCAGTGACGGAACATAATCGATTATAGCGTAGTAACGTTTTACGGCCGCGGCTTTACTATAAAGTTTTTTTTCTGTCACTTTAATATCAAATGGGTCGGTGACGCAGAGATCAGGGAACAGACGTGACAGCGACACGGAGCAGTCAACACAAGAACACCAGTCCAGAACCAACTGCAGAAGGACCCGCTCTGAATCAGTCCGTGTCGCTGCGGCTCAGGCACACAGGGATTTATCCATCCATCCATCCATCTTCTCCCGCTTATCCGTGGTCGGGTCGCGGGGGTAGCAGTTCCAGCAGAGAGCCCCAAACTTTCTTTTCCCTGGCGACATCAACCAGCTCTGACTGGGGGATCCCAAGGCGCTCCCAGGCCAGCGAAGAGATATAATCCCTCCACCTGGTCCTAGGTCTACCCCTTGGTCTCTTCCCAGCTGGACGTGCCTGGAACACCTCCCTAGGGATTTATGTTTTTAAAAAATACTCGCGTTACAATCTTGTCAGGTTTTTGGTGGATTTAGTTAAGTCTTGGATTGCAGAGTATGAATGTCCTCTTGCTATTTTCAGACGATAAATACGTGTGTAAAGCATAGGTGTAAAGTTTGTGAAGGCAGGAGGAAAGCTTCCGCGATCACCGTCTCCTCTGTTCCTCCAAACCCCGCCCCCCCCTGAAAATAATGAGTGACAGGCTGATAGTAACCTGATAGAAACTATTATTCACTTAATCACTGATTGAGAGATGATTAAGCTAACTGAATCTCCTACAATCATGGGATGTATGTAACAGTAAGACAGAGAATGTAAGTGTGCACCCACATGCAGTATTTTTGTTTTTATAATGCCGTTGTAAATACTCCTGTTGTCTGCTGAGTTCAGACTCAAGTCATGTTTGTGATGCCACATGCAGGACATTCAGTGTCCTTTTTTTAACAGAAGACCGTTGCTAGAAGACTGCAGAAGCATTAGTTTTTTGTTTTTGAGGATGGAACAATTTCACACACAGATACTGTATAGGGATGAATCGAATCGGTGACAGGATAATCGAATCGTGAGACCAGTGAAGATGCACAGCCCTAATAGTAATAATAGTTATTGTCTACCAGGAAATCATTCATTTACTCTAGCTTATAAAGATTATATCCTGCATTATTATATTCATTTCTTGTTTTCTGGGACACTTCTGCTTTCCATGATAGCAGTAGGAAGTTTAAATTACATTTTACACTCAATGAGGAATATCACAAAAAACAATGCATACCATTTTCCTCTTCCTGGTGCTGTTTGGTATTCTTTATTTCCGGTAAAGTGCTTCCTGTTAAATATATATTTCAAGGGGAAAATATACAGACGTTCAGTTTACACTAAGCTTTATCCAGTGCAGTGTAATAAAAAAGTCCTGCTATAAACCCTACTGTCATGAAGGTTATAATGTTTAGTTTTTATAGAGATGAAGATTAAACGTCATGGCTGTATTATGTCGTGTTTAAGTTTAATATTTTGTTCCCTCTCTCTGTTTTCAGGATAAACACCATGATGCTGCTAATGAAATCATCGAAACCATTCGGTGAGTGACCTTTCTCCCGTCTCACTCAACTCCCACATGAACAGCCAGTGAGTGACTGACGATGATCTAATTATGTTTGTATGTGTGTGCTTTCTGTAGGTGGGTGTGTGAGGAGATCCCAGACCTCAAACTCGCCATGGAAAACTACGTACTCATTGACTACGACACAAAATGGTCAGTCTAAGGTCACATAAACGGTTTGTGTGGCTATGACTGTGATTTAAAAAGAAAAAAACTGGGAAACATATTCATCCCGTCAGGCTAGCAGCTTATATAACAGCTGTTCTAGTATGTCAATCTAAATATATCTAATATCTTAATAGTTGGTTTTCTTATTTGTCTGTAGAATTTCTATCAAAATTACAATCTTAAAGTGTCTGTAAAAGTAAATATCTCTGCCACCAATGACACAATTATTAGTGTTTTTAGAAACATATGAGTGAAACACTGAAATAGGTGTTGGACTGGGATTTTGGAGTTCTTCTTGTACAAAATGATGGTATTCATTGTGTTTTGTTATTCTCACAGCTTCGAGAGTATGCAGAGACTTTGTGACAAGTACAACAGGGCCATCGACAGCTTCCACCAGCTGGTGAGTCCGTATGTGTGAAGGGCCTTCAGTGCTCTGTGGGTGAAACATTAGTCACTGAAAGTGAACCACGCTGTATGTGTGTGTACTGTGAGTCTATCACAGCTTTGAATCATTGCTGCATATGACCTTCCACTGTCTTACAATAAATACTTTTAATGATCACTCTTGCTACAATATTTGTGTCACAAATTATCTCATTTATGGAATCTTTTTAAAACAAAACAAATCAAGTGTATTCATTTGTGTTTGTCCTTGAAAGGCCAGCCCACTGTAACTCTGTGACTCTGGTGTGTGGGAAAAGCCATTATGGATTGTTTCGAGTGTGTGAATATGTAAAGGACAATGTCCGTTGTTACTGTTTGAACTATGTAGCAACGGCAGGAACTGCTTCGGTAGAGTTTTTTTGCCAACCTTTTTGATAACAGATTTGAAAACATTGTTGCTTGCTTTAAAAGTAGCACAATTCATGATGTCAAACCTTGGAAAGTATCTAGATATCCCTGCCCTGATGCCAAAGTAACTGGCAACTGAATATGTGTCGCCGTTTGATGTCTGGACCGTTGCGTAAAAAGGAGGGTTTCTGCCCCGTTACTTCTCCGTTATTTTCTTGTCCCTCTTATCTTGTCGGTTTGAAACTGTATACAGTTAAATCGACCGAACTTCTTTCTGCAGATGTGAGCGTCCTTAACACTAGAACCGCCAGAGGTGGCTGTATACCTAAAACCGCCAACGGGTCAAATGTACCCACTATTGATTTTCAAGGTACAATGTTCTTTTCTTTATCACACAGAACAGTGAGTTTTGATCGCACAGGGATGAAACTTATACCAATAGAATCTGTGGACTCTCAGCTTTCCATATGACATAGTTTGTGCAGATAGCATGAAGTATAAAATATCACTAAGAGTGCTGATTTAAACGCTTGGTGTTAGACTTGTGTTTTGTTTAGGTACAAATCTCTCTATCTATCTATCGATTTATCTGTAATGTACTGTTCTATGGACATAATTGTCTACATAAACAGACGACGCAGACTATTTCTCTCATTCCGAGTGTCCATCTTTATTCAACTGGCACGTAACCTATGGATGCATTACGTCCTCAACGTGAGCTCAGTCATCCAAGATCTTGTATTCTCCAAGATGTTACACTATCTATCTATCTATCAATCTCTCTCTCTCTATCTATAAGGAACCGCAGTAGACAATATGCGTTGCTATAGCAACACGTCATGTTTACGCTGCATTTTCTATGAGGTAAATATTACCCGCTGGCGGATATAGGTATACATGGCATTTTTTTTTGGCGATTTTTTCAATCTGACTTCATATTGACAATTGTTAACAACAGAGGGTGCTACATAACACACTTTCAGGAAAAGTCACGGACTGAGAGACTTTAATATGTTATTGAAAAAAAGTTACATACAATCAAAAAACAGCTGCGGGTAAAATGTACCCTTTGGCGGTTCAAGTGTTAACAACGGCCAATAAGTCCTTGACAGCGGTCTGTCTGTTCTGGATTAACAACGTGTCACGTGTTCTGAATTGACCAATCAGAATCGAGTATTCAACTAAGCCATGTAATAAATATATATAATCTGCATTTTATAGTGGAAAGGGACGACCCAGTCCATGAAGCTGAACAAGCGACCTTCCAACGGGCTGCTGAGACACATCCTGCAGCAGGTGTACAACCACTCAGTGACCGACCCCGAGAAGCTCAACAACTACGAGCCCTTCTCCCCCGAGGTGTACGGAGAGACCTCCTTCGACCTGGTGGCTCAGATCATCGACGAGATGGAAATTATGGAAGACGACACCTTTGTTGACCTCGGCAGTGGTTAGTCAGCTGTTATTTTGTGAACTCAATTATGCTGTATGCAGTGGAGGAAATAAGTATTTGATCCCTTGGAGATTTTGTAAGTTCACCAAGTACATTTTCTTTTTGATACTCTCACTGTTAAAAATAAACCTACCATTACAATTATAGACTGTTAATTTCTTTGTAAGTGGGTGAACTTACGAAATCGGCAAGGGATCAAATACTTATTTCCTCCACTGTATCTGCATGATACAACTTGACGCAACTTATTTTAACACATTTTTGGTACCAGGTGTTTCACTCTGTTTGGCTTTCCCACTTTGGATAAACCATTGCCGGCTGAGAGCTGAAGCGATGATAGCGGAAACTTCAGTAACATCATCTTCATGTGCTGAGCCTTTAAATGGCAGCAAACCTTCTTTCTGCAGTGTGCTGTGTCCTTTCTGGCTGCCATTTTAAACAAATCTTAGTGAATTGACTGAATAAAAAAAAATCTCTATTGAGCGCAGCTTGACTTTTTAAAATGACAGGTTTTCAGGGCAATGATTATGTTTTGAGTTGTAGGAGTTGGTCAGGATGCCAATGCAGGTGGGAAAAATCGTTTTCAACAGAATTATTGTCAAGATATAAGTAATGCCTTTTGATGCAAGACATGACCCTATTGTTTTCCTATTTGCAGGAGTGGGGCAGGTAGTGCTCCAAGTTGCAGCAGCAACCAACTGTAAACACTACTTCGGTGTAGAGAAAGCAGACATTCCAGCTACCTATGCAGAGGTGACCACATAATTATGGCAGAACCAGAGGGCTATTCCAGAGAGACAGCAGTGTTGGCGCAGTGCAAATCACCTCTGGAAAATAAAAGTGATGCCGAAAGTTTTCCGCTGTGTGTTGCCTTTTGCGTCCAATCCGTCTCCAAAGTGGATTTCCTGGTTCATTCTTTATCTTCTTATCATTACCCTGTTGCAACACACCAACAGCAGCATTTTGTTGGATAATAATATGCAAATTCTTTCTCTCAGAGTATGGATAACGAGTTTAAGAAGTGGATGAGATGGTATGGAAAGAAACATGGGGAGTACACAGTAAGTTGAATATTATAATAAACACTTTCAAAACCTTTTAATATTGTTGTGCAGAGCCACAGGTATTAATTATTGTCTGTTGTGTTGCTTTCAGCTGGAGAGAGGGGACTTTCTCTCTGAAGAATGGAAGGAAAGAATTGCCACCACAAGGTGTTACACCAAACCGGACCGGCGCAACCGTCTGCAAGACACATTTTCCAATAAATATTACTATAAATAAGACTATTTATAAGCTGAATTTATACACAGAGGGACTGGGCATGTTGAACATGTAATGCAAAAGCCCAGTCCCTAATAAAAGCTACTAATTTAAACATATTTACTTATTATTATTATTTATTATTAAATCTAAATTTATAAAGGTCCAGAGTTGAATGCCTAAAGGTAAAAAGTTAGCAAACGGATCTTCAGGGAAAGTCTTAAGCTTAAGCGTTCGTGTTATTTGACATGGCCGAGATATATTAGTGAAATTAGAGAAGTCACCTTGTCCTTTTATAGATGTGTCTGCAGAACTTTGCCATAACATTCATCTCTCTTTTTTTGCTGCTGACTGTCAATCTAAAATGTTTTCTTTTCTGTCTGTCTTGCAGTATTATTTTTGTGAATAACTTTGCCTTTGGTCCAGAGGTAGATCACCAGCTGAAGGAGCGTTTTGCTAACATGAAGGAAGGTTAGTATTTAATGGCTAAATACAAGATATGCGTTTGCAACCATGATTAGATTTTCAAAGGGGAATATTTTGTATTTTTTTACAATGCATCAACCATAAGAGCAGTCAATACAAACTGGCCTTTCCCAATCAATTGAAAAAGATAGAAACATGTGGGATTATCATTCTACTGATCCTTTATTCTCCATGTGTAAGTGTGTGTTTTTACATGTCATTCATTGACGTGTACAGAGGAAAAGATCAGCCACAACAAATTGAGACATTTTATGAGGCAAAAAGTTGACAAAAAAAGCTTTTAAAGATCAGGTGACAACATTTAATTTGTGTAGAAAAAATCAAGGCCTTTTGTTGGCCTCACTTAAAGAGTGGCTTCCTGGAAACATATTTATTCAGCTGTTCTTGTTAATTAAAACCACAATGGCTGATAGAATCCAGCAGATGCTTTTCCCCGACCCTTCGACATCACTGTGTTCCATATTGTTAGATGTATATAGTGAGCTATAGATACTATCTGTGTCAACTGTACAACAGTATCTAAAATGTATTTAAATATATTCCAAATATTATCTATAAATGTGAGAAAGGAGTTCAAGTATCTCGGGGTCTTGTTCTCGAGTGAGGGAACAATGGAGCGTGAGAAGGGCCGGAGCAGCGGGAGCGGTACTGCAGTCGCTTTACCGCACCATTGTGACGAAAAGGGAGCTGAGCCAGAAGGCAAAGCTCTCTGTCTACCGGGCCATTTTCGTTCCTACCCTCACCCATGGTCATGAAGGATGGGTCATGACCGAAAGAACGAGATCGCGGATACAAGCGGCCGAGATGGGTTTTCTCCGCAGGGTGGCTGGTGTCTCCCTTAGGGATAAGGTGAGAAGTTCGGTCATCAGGGAGGGACTCGGAGTTGAGCCGCTCCTCCATCGCGTCGAAAGGAGCCAGTTGAGGTGGTTCGGGCACCTAGTTAGGATGCCACCTGGGCGCCTTCCTAGGGAGGTGTTCCAGGCACGTCCAGCTGGGAAGAGACCAAGGGGTAGACCTAGGACCAGGTGGAGGGATTATATCTCTTCGCTGGCCTGGGAGCGCCTTGGGCTCCCCCAGTCAGAGCTGGTTGATGTGGCCAGGGAAAGGTTGTTTGGGGCTCTCTGCTGGAACTGCTACCCCCGCGACCCGACCACGGATAAGCGGGAGAAGATGGATGGATTATCTATAAATGTATTTACTGAATCTGTTTTCTCTTGTTTTTTTTATTTCCACAGGTGGAAAAATTGTATCTTCCAAACCTTTTGCACCTTTAAATTTCAGAATAAACAGTCGAAACTTGAGCGGTAAGTAGCAACATTTAGTGGAAACACAGATGTAATGTCTTATGCTTCCTTCGATGTGTATCTGACATGCAGCGCTTTGTTTTTCCTCTCCTGCAGATATTGGTACGATAATGCGCGTGGTGGAGCTCTCTCCATTGAGGGGCTCTGTGTCCTGGACTGGGAAGCCAGTTTCCTACTACCTACATACCATAGACCGCACTATAGTAAGCACTGACGCTCCTGAAGAAGGATCCAAATGCTGACACTAGAACGTCTATTAGAGGAGATCTTGACAAACCAATCAAATGACTGCTGAGGCGGTACAAACACATTATGCATCAGAGACAGAAAACGCACCAAACTCCTGAGATGAGCTGACTCACTGTCTTAATGAGCAGTCAGTCCCAGGAGTGATTAACTTGAGGAAAACAGAGGGTAACACATTAGATCAGAAGTCGCGTTAACCGAATATTTTGAAAGCAGTCCGTCATTTTGACAGATTAGAACAAACTCAGAACAGCACCAAAGTTTCCCCGCAGTGAGGCTCCGGTGTTATGCCGTGTTATGCATGCCCGCCCCATCCTCCATCAGAGTTGTGTACAGACCGACGGATAATAATGGATTTTGACAGACATTTTACGATCCTGTCCCTCAAAATTACGGGCAGCGAAAAAGTCTAGCACCACCACTGCATTAGATGCATCAGATAACACTGATATGTGTGTTAATTGGTTAAATGTAATCCCTGTTTACCAGCGTGAAACCCGGTGAGAGAGCTGGCACGCTAACTACAGTGCCAGTGACATCCTTGTTCTGTGTTGTCACCTGAAATAGATGAGGCTGCTCAAGCTTTAATGTCTGGATTAAAGTTAATAACTGGTCAGTAATCATCATAATCCAAAAACATCTCATAATCACGTCAGGTTGGAGGCAAAAGTGGGAAATATATAGATATTTGATCGTAAACAATTTATGAAAATAATATTCTCACATTCACATTTTCCTGTTTTTCAGCTTGAAAACTATTTTGCTAGTCTGAAAAATCCTAAACTCAGGGTAAGTCATGTTCTTCTTCCTCATTGTATTCAATCATTGTATTCACTTTATTTTCTGTATCAGACAATGAAATTGGTTCATCTTGGTTTATCAGGAAGAGCAGGAAGCAGCTAGGCGACGTCAGCAGAAGGACACGAAGGACAGTAAAAGCAATAGCACCACGCCTACAAAACCTAAAGAACAAAACAAGGTAGGACATGCACAAGACTTTGTTTGGAAAGCAGTTCTCTGGACGAGATAGACGAAGTGCAGGTCTCAAATTATTTGTTGTGTTTATATCCACGGGTGCTTTTGAACTTACTTGAACCTGAATTTCTTCACCTGCACCAAAACATTTTATTTATTACACCAAGGCGGGATCCTACTGTCAAGATTTGCTTAGATAGGAACATTGTCAATGTGTTGACAAAAAACATCCAACTTGTACATGGTCATAGTAATTGATGACTTAAAAAAAACAAACATTCATTCATTGAATTTACGAGAGTTCATAATTAGATTCACAGCTGAAATGTTCCTACCATGTATCACCGCTTTTTTGTCCTTGACTTTTTTCTCTTGGTTTGTATACAAGTCGATCAAAGGTCACACAGCAGGGCCAGCTCTCTTTCTCCTTGTATGAATATATACGGTGTGTTTGCCATGCGTATCGCAGCAGGACTCCTGCGGTGAGGACGAGCGTCCTCGCTTGGTGACCATGGTCAAGCCCCCTGCCAAACCCCGAAGAGCCCGACTCCTGCCCAAAGTTCGCAAGTTGAACAACAAGAAACGTGGTCGACCCAAGAAGGCCACCCCGGCTGTGGAGAACAAAAACAAAAAGAACCAGAGTGCGCTGGATCTGCTGCACGCCAAGACCCTCTCTGCAGCCCCCCCTCAGGGTCAGACACACACACACACAATGTGCCTCAAAGTACAGAAAGCTTAGAGATCTCAGTTTTAACAATTATTATTCTCCTTGTGTGCACAGAGGCTTACCGGCCCCCTCAGAGTCCGTTCTACCAGCTACCTCCCAAGGTCCAGCACTATCCCTCCTCTCAACTGATCCTGAGCCCCACTCCTCCCGGGCTGCAGCACCTGCTCGGTGAGCTGAGGAAGACTCACTTCCATTATTTTGTCTGTCAAAATATGTCATAAATATTATACCAGACTCTGTACAAATCTGTATGTAAGATAATAGTGTTAACCATTGCTTTTAGTCTCACATTTAGGCTTTGATATGAACAGTTGTAAAATTATTATATTGAACTCCTTTTTTCCAACAAATACCTAAATATAATCCCTGTGTTTCTGTTCTCTTCCTCTCTCTGTGTCCCTGACCTACATCTTCTTACAGATAACATCAAAGTACAATACCTCCAGTTTATGACCCACATGAAGACTCCTCAGTACCGCTCCAACCTGCAGGAGCTTTTAGAAGAGGAGAAGGTGATAAACACTTCCTTTGCAGAGACTATTGGCTTCTGCTGCAGTTTCACTTGGGCATTTAACGGCCATATCATGACAATATATATTAAGTTGCATTAACTAGGGCTGCTCAATTAATCGTATTTTAATCGCAATTACGATTTTGGCTTGCAACGATTACGAAAACAACATAATCGAAATAAAACGATTATTTATTTTTTATTATTATTTATAAAAAATAAATATATTTTTTATTGGTTTTTCAATTGAATTATTCTTAAAGTTCAGGGTAATCAACTGTTAAAAACGTACTACACCTTTCTTTTTCAATTGATGTTTTCAAAGTAAATGGATAATCGTTTTTAATAATCGTGATATCAATTATTGACCCAAATAATTGAGATTATGATTTTTGCCATAATCGAGCAGCCCTAGCATTAACACAAATTAAACCTTGTTTTTTTACTTTTTTACGCAACCTCTTACATGTAATCTTCTATTTTTCTGTCTCTAGCAAAAGCACAGGGACCTGTCAGGGCAGGCGGAGCAGCTCCACTCTGTTTGTCAGACTCACAAGGACAAGATCAAAGGTCTCTTTCAGACCAAACTAGACGAGGTAGGAGCCGTTTCTCAATTTTACTTCATATACAGATACAATCGGTAATATTACCACTAACTTCTTGTATTAAATAGCAGTTGTATGCATCCATGCTTATAAAGTTATTTTACTTTAAGGTAATTCATAAAATGAAGGATACAAATAAAACCCAAAAACGGTATCATGTACTAAGATTAGCCCTTAATTACAGCTGTTTTAAGGGACAGCCTGAATTACTTATATCCCTTTCCAGGTGAACATGGTTTAAGCTCATCTTTAATGAAAGCGAGGCAGATCTTATTTTGGGTGTTTACCTGCAGCGTTGTGTTGTAATGAGAATAAACGTAACACTTAGCTCATCTGGTTAAAACTTTAAGTCTGTTAAAGCGCATAGTATCTCACGCGTTGGGTTGATCAGACAAGTGCTGTGTTGAAAGCTCTTACTACACCCAACAGTGATGTGAGGCTACAGTGATCAGAAACAGTTTGGAAGTGCTTTAACAATGAACACAGGGAAAACACAAATACACAATGATGCTTTTCTTATTATTGACTTAGAACGGTCAGTGGTGTCAAAAGCCCCCTTTGCTTTGTCACTTTATTCCATAAAACCGTAGTAAAGAAGAACCATTGCCACATTTGCTTTGCTTTTTTACGCTATACCAAACAACGGCTGCATAACGCTTTAAAGATTTGTACTGCTAAGTTGTTGTTTAGGCATTGTGTTTGTGGCTTATATATGATGTGTGTATGTGGTGATCAGCTGGGGGTGAAAGCCCTGACTGTGGAGGACCTGCTGCAAGCCCAGAAGGAGATCTCAGCCCACAACCGTCAGCTGAAAGAGCAGACTAAGCAGCTGGAGAGAGACATGGCCTTACTGAGAGACCATAGCCTGCTTCTGGTGAGCGCTCAGGGCTTACTATGTTGTTGTAACCTCCACCCTTACTACTACATCATCCCCAGAGGCTCACACCTGTCACCATTCCTGCTGCTCTGCATTTGTGTAATGGTGGATGCAGTCCCAGTTCAGCTGTAGTTTTCACTCCACAGCCATGCCCTTCAGGCCCATATGAATCTAGATTTGACTTTCCTTCCCGCTCTCTCTCACGATTCAATAACATCAAGCGTGTATGTTTGTTGTTTTCCAGCTGAAGTCTCGATGTGAGGAGCTGAAGCTGGACTGGGGCTCTTTGTGTCTGGAGAATTTGTTGAAGGAGAAGCAGGTGCTACGCAGACAAATCTCTGAAAAGCAGAGACACTGCTTGGAGCTGCAGGTACACAGTCCTCCTCAACTTTTTGGATTCATTACTTAATGCTTCCATCTCTCTTCCACCTCTGAAATACTCCCCCACAGTTGCTCTGTTCTCTCTTCTATCCTTCCGCCCCCCTTTTGCCCATCAAACTCGCTCTTCAGATTCAAGAGGAATTATGCTTGTCACCTAAACTGTATAAATTATAGCTTTCAGGAAGAGCTGAGGATTTCCTGTCATAAACATTTCTTGACATATCAGGAATGTAATACAGTGCTGTTTCTTTAGTGTAATGGCTCCCCCTTGTGTCTGTTTGTAGATCAGCATAGTGGAGCTGGAGAAAACTCAAAGGCAGCAGGAGTTGCTTCAGCTCAAATCCTACAGCCCCTGTCACGGCTCCCCATACAGAAAGAACCTGGATTCCCGCTCTTCCATGGACATGGACCCCTCTAAGCACGGCCTGTGCTCGATCCCGGCTTTTAACGGCGTCAGCATGGAGATCAACGGCACCAGCTTGCCCTGTTTTGACCGGACCAACACCAAGGGGGAACTTCTGTCTCGCTATCTGCCCATCTCTCCATACCATGAGATGGCACCCACCATCTCTGATGCCCGGCAGAGGCAGCTGAGTTCCTCCTACGCTCTTCCTGATTACACACGCTTCTCCCCCGCCAAGATTGCCTTGCGGAGGCACCTTAACCAGGACCCCAACGCTCACTTGAGAGGTCCAGGACTGAACATGCACAGGTTGGTTGGCACTAAAAGCACCCAAATGTCTCTACGTTGCTCCCCAGGGTAGCAAAAAGCTAACCTGTTTCTCCTTTTTCATTTAGGGAATTGGGAGGTGTTTACTCGCCGCTGGGAGCCAAACTGAACTGTCCTTCTCCCAATCCTTGTGATGCCCAGAATAAAGGCTTCGAGAGGGTAACATTTTATTTTTTATTTTATGTACACCTGCACTGTTGATCCGTTTTTTTAACCTTTCTTGCCGCTTCTCAATGTTAACCATTATCTACTCTTATATTCTCACATAGGGCAAAGAGAGGAGCCCATCTGTTCAGGGTGACAGCGGCATTAAAAGCCTTCCAATCAGTATTCCCCTGAGCACGGTCCACCCGAGTAAACTACCGGTCAGCATTCCTCTGGCCAGCGTGGTGCTGCCCAGTCGAGTTGAAAGACTGGTGAGTACATCCAGTGTAGTAGTATAATAGGTACTGCTATAGTGCCTTTTATATTACGGCCTCTACACATGGCGGCGTGCGTTAACGCTTCTGCCCATTCACTTTGAATGGGGTGACGTCACGCTTTGCCGAACTGCATTGTGGGAGCAAAGCGTTGCTCGCTGCAAAAGTAGAGCAATGTTCTATTTTTAAAGCTTCGACGGAAGCGTCAGCCAATCGAATCATATGCCAGTACAAGCTCTAGCCAATCAAACCGCTGCTTGTGTGTCCGGGGCGGGAGATTCAGGTGATTGGTTGTTGGTCTAGCTTCAGACATGCCCGCCGGCAAGTGACAACGCACACGCCGCCGTGTGTAGGGGCCGTTAGTGCCTGGCTGCTCCAAGGTTCACTTGTGAAGAATTGGTAAGCTCAGTAGGATGCACAGGTTAGAGATATGGCGGATATAATTGTAGTTAATTCACCTTATTATACATCGATTTTAGTTTTTAAATGTAAGATTTTGTGTGACCTTTATGCCTCTGCATTCATATGTCTGTACATATCTTCATAGGTCTGTACATATCTTCATAGGTCTGTACATATCTTAGAAAATCCTTGAGGACACTTCTTTAAATTGTGCACAGATTTCCCTTTTTAGACCAAAACACATTTTGGGCCCTAATTAAATCATTCATATGACACTTATTAGACTTTCCCAGTGGATAAAGTGATGACACTATGTAAGGACATGAATATATATATACTGCAACTTTATCAAACGTAATAGGAATACAGGAAAACAACCCAGTCGTAGTCATTTAAGTTTGATATTGTTTCTTTGGATTTTAATTGATCTTTATTTTTTCAGAGGAGTACTCCGAGTCCTGTATCTCAGTCGGGTCAAACCAACGGTAAGGATAACGTTTAATTACTTAATGTATTATATTGACCACACAATGATTAGTAGCTTATTTTTTACTAATAAAATGCATATCATATTTTTCTTTTTGACTTCATGTTCTTCCTGTGCATCTTTCTAATTGTCTGTTTGTTTCTGTTTAGGATATTTATCGGGCTCCGGGCTGATGAATGGCGGTCCCCACCCTGAGGACCATAATGGTGCTTCTTCATCACCTTCGCATCCCAACGCTCCCTTGACAGGACCAATGGGACGGGGTGGTCCCATCCAGAGCCCTCCACTGGGGACTGGGGGGGTGCTCCAGTATGCAGACGGACCCCCTCGGATTCTTCCGGAAGATGGACAGGATCGCCACGGAGGTGAATCCGACACGGAGCCACAGGACACTGAACTGCGGAGGAGAATCTTCTTTTCTTCTTCCTCCTCTTCATCCTCGTCTTCCTCTTCGTCGGGCAGCAGCGCGGCCGGAGGATTACGCCTCCACCATCACACTGGCAACAAGCAGGGATACCACAGTAACCATGGAAACCACCACCACCATCACCACCACCACCAGTCCCCCGGCACACAGCACACACACACACCCACACACACATCGTCGTCACACTCCTCTCACGGCCTCGGCGCTCAGGAGGGCCGTAAGAGGGGGAGACGGAAACGCAACTCTACCGCGTCAGTCACGGCGGGGGGGTCCCCGAAGAGGAGGTCCTTCCCCGGGCTCGCCTCCAACCGCTCCTCAGGGTCTCCTCTCAACATTAACTCCATGGTGAGTCCCCAACAGCATGAAGAGAGAACACACACAGGGACCTGACATGATGTGATATAATATTTATTTTGTTTAAACACCGACAACTTTACAGTCCATGACTAAAGTAAAGGTCAAGACAATACAAAACAGGAATGTACACTTACAATGAATTGAAAATAAACATCTACTGTCCACACGCCAAACCAAAAAGCCTCCCTATTCTTACTCGTTAGCATTAGCCGCTTTTCCACTGTCGCTCCGCACACAGGCCAGCTAGTGCTAAGAGTGGCCTGGGGCGAAAGTCGGGGGGCATAGGCAGCGCTTATCTGTCTTTTGGGGGGAAGATGGGATTCATCACTAAAGAATAACCAAAATAAATACGTGTTAACTGTGAAGCAGAGCGTTTTCTTGCGAGCTAAATATGATAACAGAATTAGGTCGAATGATGTTTGCATTGCTGTCTGTTTATGAGTCATAAGAAATCAGCAACAGTAGGAAACATTTCAAGCCTTCATTCAGTCAGGCATTTTAAATGTAAATGAACTTACCAAACAGACTTCATACCGTCCACTCAGTTCTTCGGATTCATTTGCCATGTATCACAAAACAAAAAGAACATACATTATAAAAATCTAGTTGACAAGCAGTGTTTCTGGAATCGCTGAACAAATATCAAACCTGTGTGACACATCTTACTTTTCTTAATTTGACTTAGTTTACAGAAGAGCTGTGATATCCAAATATCATCCCAAAGTATGTGTCCAATGTCAATTAAAGCAATGTATTTATGGAGACTGGAAAGTAGCTTAGATGGCGGCGGGACCTCAATGTTTACTTTCAGGATGTTCGAGTCGCAGGAGGCAGATTCAGGCGGTGAGTTATTATTTTATTTTGCAAATTTAACAGTGATAGTAATTCAACTGAACCCATCATGGTCTACTTATATTATGCAGTTTTTGATGGTGCTACTGTAATTCCTGTATGTCAGGTGAATGACAAGTGTGCTGTTATTTATTTGTGTGTCGTATACTAAGAGGTTGCATATAATAGGCGGTTTAAGGGATCAGCTCGATAGAAGTTAAGCGAGTGGTTTTTGTTCTCGTGGCTTGGGGCCTTGGCAGATTTACAGCGGCTGCTGGCTCGAAGATGCCACTTGCTTTAGATGGCCCAACAGTGGAAAAGCGGCTAACCAGGACCTGAGTAGGGTATAAATGCACTACAATCTTCATAAAACTGAAAAGGATCCTTTCCCTATCCACTGTGTGATGTGAGGGTGTTCCTCATACAACCACTTTAATAAATTCATATCATAAAACAGAAGAAAAAAGATTTTCAAGAGTTTAAATGTATTAAAAAGGAATATTATCCAAACCATGAATGAACATGAAGAAGACATTTTGAACAAATAATTTCTGATCTCAGAACGTCTTACAAGAATTAGTAAATATGTGTACACATTATAGTAAACAGTGAACATATGTAATATTACATGTATCACATTAATTTGACAGCCTGTATGATTATTTATTTTATTTGTAGTTCAATCATGAATTTTTAAACAATATTTCTAGCTTAGATTTTGTAACATTTTACTCAAAAATACCTCTTTAGTGCATTACCACTATTCTTTCCCCATGGATCAAGGACATTGGATTGCTTTCACATTACTTGAAGCCTTTATGTTCTTTGTCCCTCAGGTGAACAACATCAACCAGCCCCTGGAGATCTCTGCCATCTCCTCTCCAGAGCAGTCCAGCCGCAGCCCCACTGGGCCTGACATGGACCAGCCCCCCGTCCTGAAGAGAGAGTGCCCCCTGGAGCTCAAAGGGGCCGGCCGGTACTCCTCGGCCCCCAGCTCTGACGACGACGACGACTCAGGATACCCTGCCGACAGCTCCAGTTCACGGTAAGAAACTCGTCATTAATATGAAGACGGGGGTAACAACGTGTCCCTGCTGAACTGCCTTTATAAAAGATGACTCTGCTGGTCTCCACTACAGCTTGAGGCTTTCCCCGCTTTTTTTTTAAGTATCCTAGTGACCAATAAAACTAGTTGCATTTTTTTCTTGACAGTTTATTTTTTTCTTCTAGAATTGAAAGAAAAATTGCCACTATATCTTTGGAGAGCAGAGATGGACCTGGTAGAATAGGGGACGGTGAAAGAGGTAAGAAAAGAAAATGTCATTCCAAATACAAATATTTTAAGGAAATAAATTCCTCAGTGTTTGCTATATTCATCAAGAAGTGAACTTGCTCGTGGAGGCATGGAAATAAATACGACTGAATATCTTGAGTCGGACAAAACTAAACTGTAAAATGTATCCTCATCCATAATCCCAATCCCATATACTGCTGGTGGAAACAGAACTAGTTTAAGAGATTGGATGCAGAGATAATGAATACATTTACTCAGCTTTTTGGTCAAATTAGCTTCAATTGACTACGTTCTAAATTCTTATCTCGAATATTTCTTTTTTAATCTTGCACTTCTTCTGCTTAATGCCAATATTTCTTTCTCTCCTTCTCTCTTTTTTTCCACTAGTCAGGAAGTCTGGTAGCAGCAGCGGTAACAGCACAGGAAGTGACGCCTCCTCTTCCTCCTCCTTGTCCTCCAACAGCAAGTGGAAAGCCACCTTCTCGCCCATTTCTGACCCCAAGCAGCCTCACTCGGACCTGAGGCAGGGGGGCTCCCCCTTCGGCATGGGGGGGTCTGGCCGGGGCACGGACTCAGATTCAGACCACAAACAACAGCATCATCATCAGCAGGGGAGGAAAGGAGGTGAAGGAGAGTCGTCCAGCTACATCAATCCCAACCCCTTCCTCAGTCAGGAGGCAGGGCCCCGGGGTGGAGGCAGCGGCGGTGGGGGAGGGTCCCAGGGAGGAGGGGGATCGGACCAACGCCAGACCCTCCAGAAACAGAAGGGCCCTCGAGACCGGGAGATGAAGACGAGCAGCAGCATGGCCAGTCAGAACCTCTTCATATCTGCTGCTGCCAGCAGTGGTGGAGGCATCCTGAGTGGGAAGGTGGGGGGCGGTCCCGTAGCCATTTCCTCCACCACAGGACCCTCTGTGGGCCAGTACCTGGGGTCTCAGTTCCCACTCGGAGGGGCCTCAGTCCTGCAGTCCTTGTTCGGGGCCCAAACGGGCGGATCCACGGTGAGTGGGACACCGAGGCTCGTCAACGGAAACTCCGTCCTGGGAAGCTTCTCCAGTGCTGGGCTGGCAGGTGGAGCGGCTGGAGGTGAGTCAGATCAAGCTGATCACGTAGAGTACAGAGGGAGCGTTTATTCTTAGCCTGGCGTCGATTGATAAAGAATAGTACGAGTCCAAGATCAGGGAAAGGGCCTGCTGATAAAAGCAGGTAAGTCAAGGTCCATTGCTGCCCGCTCCGTCCTGCTGACTGACTGACTGACTGACTGACTGACTGACTGACTGACTGACTGACTGACTGACTGACTGACTGACTGACTGACTGACTGACTGACTGACTGACTGACTGACTGACTGACTGACTGACTGACTGACTGACTGACTGACTGACTGACTGACTGACTGACTGTGCTACCTTGCTTTGAGATGGGCTTGCTGCTTAAATGCTGAAACACCCTTGGAAAATGTTGCACTTTGAAAATAAGAAATGCTTGAGAATTTTTTTAAGAAAACGTAAAAATCTGAACAAATAATTTATTTTGACATCTGTGATTGACCATGAATTAAATATACATCATTAATACTTCACTATATTGTCATTTTCTGTGGGTGTATCTATTGGAGTTGTATGTCAGAGTCAGTTCACCTGTAAGCAAAAAATAAATAATTAAATTTGTACTGCAATAAGAACCGCTTTAGTACAATTCTAATTGGCTCCCACATGCTGGGTGACAGTGTCCTGACTCTTGCTTTCTGTGTGCTGGTCTCAGACCTGCTTGCTGCTCTGCACAACCCGGCTCAGTCCTTGCTTCTCTCTTTGTCGCCCCCCACCCCTCTTTCTCGCTGTCTTTGCCACCTCTGCTCTGTCTCCACTCTCTCCCCCCTCCTCCGTTTCTGCATTATGATTTGCAGGTATATTTCACCATGTGGGGCCCACAGTGTCCTCCCATCAGTTTGGGGTGAGGCTGCCTTCCTCTGGAGGCCTCGGCTCTCTGCTCAGTCTCTCTTCCTCCCCCTCCTCCCAAATCCAGCATCACACCACCCCCCAACAGGCCTCCACCCGCCTGGTGTTGTCCCCTCTCCCCCTCTCCCTGTCCCATCACATTCGCACCCAGTCGGTCCTGCACAGCGCCTCTCCCCCCACCCTCACCCTGCCTACCCCTCCTCCCCTGCACAGCACCTCCTCAACAGCCGCCCACTCTGACGCCTCGCCTTCATCTCGATCCGACTCCTCCCGTCTGTCCCACCACCAGAGAGCCTCCATCTCCTCCTCCCCCTCTGTCTCAGTCGCAGCTGCTTCCTCCCTCTCCTCTTCCTCCCTCTCCTCCTCTCGTCCATTCGCAGTGCACTACCCCCCCCGGCTGCCTCCTCCACCTCAGGCCAGCAGCTCAGGTGGAGGCGGGGGCATGTGGAGGACTCAGGGCACGCATGGCACCCACACCACCTCCCAGCCTCCTGGCTCCAGACCTAGATAGGGTTTGGGGAAGGGGGGAGGATGGAGAGGGTGGAGAGGGTAAGAGCAAAGGGCAATCAGAGGAGGAGAGAAAGTGAGACTGATAGGGAGTGAGAGAGACAGGATACCTGTTCTAAAGCTGCCTTACGCTGTTCTGATTGAACAAGGTAAGTCCACTCTCAGGTTTTAAAATGTGGGTTTCTGCAGTGAAATGTCCAAAAGATTACCTGACCTATTCATTGCTATTTTGCTCCATTGTGTACTTTCAAAACAACAATATTTTTCCAACAATTTCAAACCTAGAGAACTTTGAACAGTTGTGTTGGTGTCCTGTCCCCTTAAAGCATGTGTCAGCGTTGTGATTATCTAAATTGACGGTCTAACCAGTTTAAACGATAAAATGTTATACCGGTTTTACTCACCGTGTCTGTTTGTTTTGGCAAAGAGGTAACCTTTCAGATTATTCGGTTCTAGGGGTGTAACGGTATCCGTATTCGTCACGGTTCGGCAGTCACGGTTCGGCACATGCAGTCACACGGCGAATACGCCTTTTTTTACGAGTGGGAAAAAAGCCTGTCACTCAGGGCAGTATTACACTATATATAATCCAGGGGGCGGTATTGCACCTAAAAGCCAGCCGCCCGTAAATAACAAATGAAGAACAAGAACAAAACACAACAAAACGAACACAATACATGAAGAAGAAAAGTTAGTATCTATGGCGAGTTCACACAACACACAGGAGCTAGAAGACCCACCTGCTTCTTTTAAATCAGCTGTGTGGGAACATTTTGGGTTCCCTGTGGACTACAACAATGATGGGGTGATCGGACGAGGACGGTGTGTCGGCGTTGTTCGACAGCGGTGCGGTATGCTAGTGGTAACACGTCAAACATGCTCAATCACATCCGAGTCAGTCTCAGTCCGCAGCGAGAGGGTTTTCTCGACGGCAGGTGACATAGTTACCGCCAACAGATCTGCCCTCACTGCTGACAACGTAGACTAACTCATCGTTTTGAAGAACAACTTGAAAATAGAGTAAAGCTTGAGTACCTTTATTTAGGCATCATGGCCTCACACACTCGCAAGTTAATTACACATGTTAGACATTGCTCCTAAAAGGTACAGATTTTATTTTGTTTTATATTTATCATTGTATTTATTTTATATTTTGACATCAGGAGATGTTATACAGTTCTGTATTGCCTTTTATTGATTGTGATTCAAACACTTTCTTATTATTTATTTTAATATTTTCAAGACATTCTTTTTAGCTGTACAGCTTATTTAACCTTTTTGTTTGACATCAGCCATTATAAATAATATGGCCATCTGAGTGTGTGTGGTACTGTTTGTGGTTTGTTTTTAACTGTGTAATACAGTTAATGATTCCAAATGGTAGAGTTCCTTATTTTCATACCAAAACTTGCACTACTGTTAAAAATAAATAACAGCAAAAAAAATTATGCATTTGGGACTTTTTTTTGCTTTTCCTAGTTGTACCGAACCCGTACCGAACCGTGACCCCCAAACCGAGGTATGAACCGAACCGTGACTTCTGTGAACCATTACACCCCTATTCGGTTCTGTAAAAATCTCTGTTGATGAATAATGAAATAATCATAACAGGGACAAGATGATTTCAATGACGAACTCCCATGACTCCACGCTACTTCACTACGCCTTTTTAAAATAGTTTTGTGGCAGATCAAATTCCGTATAGCGTTGGTTGGAGATAAATGGATTTTGAAAGTGACAGGATTTTACTTACTGTGTTATCTTATTTGATGAATCTGTCCCCTTATAACAAACACTCATTATCCTCTGTTTCTGTCTTCTTCGATGTTTCAGGTAATTGTTGAATACTACCTCAAAATGAAATAAACTATGCAAATGTCAGAGGTGTGGACCGAGACACTCTCCTCATCACTGGTGCTTCAAAACGTCTGCACTACCCAACCGCCTCCAAGACCGGCTTCTGTACTGGGATCTCACACACACACACACACACACTAACCACCGCTATGGTCACCTTGAGCAGAATCGATACTGATCGTGTTTGTGTGATTTTACAATATGGAAATCAGTTCTAGCTGCTGCTCAGCACTGGGTGAACTGAGTCATTAGGCTGTCTGATTTTAATCAAAGGTGCTTCATAGTATGACAGTGTCAGTTTTGTCTTGGTCACTTATCATAGCAACTAGCTAAATAATCTGTTTACTTAAGCTTTCTGATCTGAAACTGATCTGTTCCCTCCAAAGTGTCACTTCCTCTGAGTGCACTCACACACAGACAGACACACACAGACCAGTTAATTGAACTCTGCTCAGATGTCACGCTCAGATGTCACGCTCTCTTATCTCTGTTTTCTTCCTTGGGTGAAATTGTGTACACATACACAAACATATTTGATAATGAATTTAAGTTAGGAACTTAGTATTTTGGTCTAACTTCACACTGGATGGTAAGATAAAGTTACTCATGTAGCAGAAGATGTGCTAGTCCAGCCTGGTTTGTTGACACCCCTTAAACTCTGATGTTGTTCATGATTTACAACATTTGTACATTTTCTAAAAATATTATGTACTGTTCAGTCTCTGTTTAAAAGCAAAGAAACACAGACCTAATATGCTATTTCTTTGTTATTAACTTGAGAAAATCCAATTAAATAATTCTCAGGTGTGATTATCTTCAATATCAGATATTTAACAAATCAGTGAAAGTCATTTTTTTATTAAATTACTGTTGTGACAGTAATCAAGCATATTAAGCTCAATGAATGTCAAATATGGACATATGAACATCCATTCATGTTTTGAAATCTGAAAGAACTTAAAATTTCAGCCTAGATTTGGAAATATTGTGAACTAGCAACTCTTTATTGGGTGGAAATAACGCTGAGCTGAGTACATTTTCATTATTCTTTTAAAGACCCCATGATATTCGATTGATAAAATGGTGCTATCTTGACATTTTTAGCCACTTTCTGTATTTATTAACATTTATTCTCCTTAGTCAATTTGGTAAGTTACACTACTTTGAGGGAACACGGCTTAAAAAAGCAGAAATGTTTGAACTCTTCTTAAGCTAATCATATTCATATTTATCTCTGCTGTTGGGAAACGCAGGTTTAAGTGATTGTTTCGGGCATAAAATGTGGACGCATGTTTTGTTTAACAATACTGCATATAGTTGATGCAAACACACGTACACACTCGTGCATGCAAATCCTCACACACTGATAAAACCATAACCACAACAAACTACTGGACTCTCTTCACACCTTTTTGTTTGCTTTTTTTTTATTGTGTAATTAGTTTTTTTGTATAAAAAGATTTGTACTGTGAATGTGATTCATTCTCCGACTGTATAGTTGTGTATAATTTAGATTATTATATTTATGCTGTCGGCCTCTCCATTTGCCTTGGTATTTGTTTTATTCTTCTTCTTTTTGTTTTATCCTGAAATGTGTTGGCATTTTAGAATACAATGGTGCTTGACTCACAGTCTGAAAACAATGGTGCTACATTTGGACTGTATCTGGTGTATCTTATTTATTCTGTGGTGAAAACATCAAAAACAAATCGAATACTTGGTGCTGTACACAGGGACACTTTTTAAGCCTTTTTCTGGCACTTTCTTTCTGATATTTAATGTCTGGCTCTTGGAATTCCTAATAAATCCTAGACCCCAATCCGACAGAACGACTCCAGCAGCTGCTCAGAGTGAACCGGTGTGAGGACGTTTCTCACGCCACAGTTTCAAACATAAATCAGCCTCAGAGCGAGCTGCATATCTGTTAGTGAACATACTCACTGTTTCTGTGCATAACATTGGTTTTCCTTATCATGAACAGAAAGATATACAAAATATGTATCGATATACACAGTCTAAAAAAAAAAAGTATATATATGTAAATATATATATATATATATATATATATGAGTGAAAAGGGTTGTTTTGGCATTGTGACCTTAAACTCAGCCTGTTAAACAGGAGGCTTGAAGCCAATGAGAGAGGAGCTTTGACATCACTGGACCTTGTGATAGAAATAGAAAGTGAAAAGCTGTGCGTATGTAACGCAGACAAACAGGTGCTGTGGCTTAAACACGACTAGATTTCACTTTTATCAGATGTTTTCACCTCTTTGGTATATTTTTATTTTTACCAATGCAATTTCTGCAGGAAAAAACGGTGCTTCTGTTTCCAAACAATCGCAATTCTGTTCTGAAAAACTTCACTGGTGCATACAAATCCTCATGTCCACGTCTTACACAAACTGTCCGTCGCTAGATATCGCACTACACAAGGCCCTACCTTGTGATGTGAGCATATTGTTTCAATGGAAAGATGTAAATCTCTTGTTAGGATGTATGTGTAACACTTTGTTGGGAGTGAGAGCATCCAAGCTTCCCTTTTCTCTGATAGTGGGAAAACACTTAGCTCAGTTTGTGTGTGCTTGTTGTCCCCACTCTCCGGTGCATATCTAAGGGAAGATTAGATTAATAATCAAAGCTTTATTGTCCGCCTGTCCTGTGCACTCAATGTGTTTCTCACTTGCGACTGTTTTAAATATAAAAGAAGAAAAAATCATTTTAGTGCAACATTTAGAGACTAGTCCGTTTGTTACCAGCACTGAGGTATTTTGTAATTATTGTTGATGCTGTTTTGATTTTCTTATTCTTGGTGTTTGATACAATTGCAGTCACATGTTATGCTTTTAATGGGGTCTTCAGATTCCTACCAGTTTGTAATACTACTATTCAGACCGACAGCACGGTGCTCTCCTTCACTTAAAACAAGGACATTGCAGCTATTGATAAATACTACTCTCCTCCTGTTGTGCTGCAGGGTTTTATGGTTTAATAATCTTCAACACGAGTTTACCAGAAATGTTCTCGAATCTGGAGTGTCGGCGTGATGTATGTGGAAGTGAGAACAGTTTATGGAGACGGCAACAAATGTACAATCATTACAGATTTCAACCAGTTTTATAGCTGCTTATATAATCAGTCAAAGGGATGAGGTGCTGTTATTCAAGTCCTTTGGTGTATGAGCATGGTTTAAATAAAAGCCTCTATGCAGTTCTCCCGCATGCGCCACCCTGATACATTATTAATAATCTGTGAGAGCTCTGCAGTGGAGGCTGTTTACTCTAAATCCTACCAAAGGTCGTAACTCAGGAACTTCCCACATGGCTTGAAATTATGTAAACAATTCTCTTAAAACTACTGCATGTCATAAACGTATGCTCCATCTCGTGGCATGATTGAGTCCTATTTGTAACCAAACTCAGGACCAGGACAATGCCTGAGTAAGCGAGGTACAATTCAAACCTCAGATGTATTCTCGCTGTCACATACATCCAGCGCCTCCGGTTGAATCCAGCTTTATAAAGCTTTAGAATCCAGATGCTGTGAAATGGCTTTCAACATCTTCCTCATCTCACAAATGCCTTCGTCTAAATTTGTCAAACAAAAGAGGTTCACGGTCCTTTTGTTGGGACTCTTCCCATTGTTTGGTGGGCGGACATGTGACAGGATGTGTACAGCGATGTCTGATGGGTGCAGCCAGGGCAGGTTTGAGGTGCAATAACGCAAACCTACTTCCCAAAAGGCCCTGCATTTACATGAGTTCTTACTGTTCGATGTTGGTGCTTTTATCCTAAGATGTTATTATAATGAAACAAATGAAAAACATGGTTCTTTTTTCTCCCCTGCGTTTTATGATTATTAATAAAAATGTTTCTTCTAATATTTGAATTCATTTTGTGTTTAGTGGCATTTTTGTCTGATCGAATTGTACTTATTTTATATTTTTAAATGTCTAATAAATATTTTTCAAATATTCTAGCGACTATTAACGATACGATTTGTTATTTGATTAGTTTTGCAAGCAAAATGACACATCTTGAGAATTCATCTGTATATTTAAAAAAGGCTAAAATGTGTTTTAACTGCCAACTTAATTAGCTTTCATTGTTTTTGATTGAATGATTCACAAATAGCCATACCTGCCATAAACATAAGAATATTTGCACTCATTCGTCCCAAATGTTCCTTATGGTTTCATTAGAATTGTATATAATAAAAAAAAAGTTTTCGTCAACACTGAAGATAAATTAGTATGGTCCAAATAGCGCTGTATGTAGATGAGACTAATTAAAAATGTTTTACAACTGGAGCTTTTAAAAAGTAAGACACTTTACATATGTTAAAATTCATAAGTAAAAAAAAGCACACAGGTATAATATAAAACACACAATTACATTACACATTCAAACGACACTACAAAAGTATTGATTATAGATGTGTGTTTTTAATGAAAATCTGTTGAATGATTCCTGATTCCCACAGTAGGCCTACACACAACCAGACATTACTTCACTCTTCAAGAATATCACGATGAAGTGGTTCCTGTCCCATACACAGTGTTGGCGGATGTTGCAGCCATTAGAAAATAATGAACTGTTCTTTTCGTTCCACAATGAAGGTTTGTGATGTACAAGAATGAGCCTTGGTGTTATCTCTCGGGATACACGGCTACTAAACATCTGAGACCTTGACTGTCTGCACAACAGGAGTGCAGCTGTGAGAGAGATGGTGGGAGTGACGGCTATGAAAGGAGTCAGGCCTCATGTCTACGTTTCTTTATGGGAGCAGGACTTTATTCACTTGTTTTCCAACTCTAGCATGAATAAGAGCAGATCAATTAGACACACAACAAGATAAACATGTTTTATTCAGCTCTTTTATCACCTAGTAGGATGAGAAGAGTGATCCACTCCCACAGCCCTGAGAGCCCAACAAGAGGAAACGGTTGGCTTAGCTCCGGCTAAAAGTGAAAAAAACAAAATGAGCCGACCAACACCTCTAAATCTCACTAATAAACATTTGATTTATTGTGTACACAAAATAATGCAGTGTTAGATTGTTGTGGTTTTACATAGGGTCATCAACATTGAATATTTCTTAACCAGTAAGCAGGAACTTCCTGAAGTCTCTACTGGTGGCCTTCAAGACTTCAGAAAGTCCCTGCATCCAGTCAAGAAATAGTCCTGTTAATAACTCCATGTACAACTTTAATTCCTTGTTTCAGTCTTCAAAATAACGAGTTGAATAGTGAGATGTAGACTACTGGTAGACACATTTTGTAAACTATGGACAGAGCCAGGCTAGCTGTTTCAAACTGATTCCATATGCTAAATTATGCTAACTATCATCTGGCTAGACTGGCTCTATGCAACACACAGCTATTTTTTTAATCTTTTACACTTCTGTATTTTTTATTTGATTTAAACACAATAGAGTTTGTTGTTGTTTTTTAATGTAGCTGCTCAGCTCAGGTGTTTTTATGAAAAACAACATTCAACTCATCTGTGTCTTTTCTACATTCAGTTTAAATGAAGCTTTGCTATACAATCATGAAGGGTTAAAACACCTTTGGCGCGTTCACACCGGAGTACTTTTCCCACAATAGTTCATCAGAAGAACTCAGATATATTTGCGTTCACACCAAAAAGCCCCCTGAACTAAATTAGTTAATCAGAACCATTTTTACCCCCTATTCAGTCCCTGCTAGAGAGCAGGGACTTTCGTGGGAGAAAAAGGTTCCTCCTGATTAGCCCAGCGCATAAACGTAGAGAGACTAATTTATGGCAACACAAAAGAAAACATGGGAGCGGTGGAGATGAGGGGGTGTCGGCGTTCTGGCGATTTACTCGGAACTCCCAGCAGCTTCTACTGAAGCCAGTCCCCAACTCCGGGGACTTCGGGTGGCAGTCATAGGTGGCAGTATACGCCGTGAAGTTGTTTGCGGCCTGCCAGTAAACCCAAAGCAGAAGAAGAAGAAGAAGTGACGTCAGCGACTTCATTTGCCTGTAGTGTAGACGGGCCGATACGGCCCGTCTACACTACAGGCATCGAAAAATCTTGAAGCTGGGCGTGTCTGAAGCTTGGCGATTTTTTGCGAGCAACGCGACCAACAACCAATCACATGAATCTCCCGCCCCCGACATACAAAGCAATAACAATGTTAAAACGAAGTAAACTGGATATAAAATCCCCAAACAGGCGAAAACCTACCAGTTTCACCCACTGTCTCTGCCACCTCCCTCCATGCCTGGTTCCTCCGGTTTGTATCCCGGTAAATAGTTCTGGTCGGAAAGAACCGGGTGATTTGCTACCGTAATTTCTCGTTTTGAATATGAGGAAATGAACTGCGGTCTGGCTCTCCCAGCTTGCACGCGGTTTGATTGGCTAGCGCTTGTACTGGCGGGAATTGCAAAAACGGGATTTGATTGGCTGACGCCAGCTTCGAGCAAGCATCGAGCCTCAAAAGTTGAACATTGTTCAACTTTTGACGCCGATAGACGCTCGTGATGCTTGCAACGCCTTGCCATGCTACCCACAATGCAGTTCGGCGAAGTTTGGAAATATCCTACGTCACCCCATTCAAATGAATGGGCGAAGCGTTGAAAGCATTTTTTGACGCCTGTAGTGTAGACGGGCCGTAATCGACCCAAGCCAAGCCCCCAGGAAGTGCGCCGGAGTCTGATGAGAATATTCGTGCTGGTCAAACGGCGGTACTACACTTCCTTTAGGTTGCTGGGCCCGGAAACACTTTTTCCCATTGACTTACATGGGGAAAGAGTGGTCTGTAACTCGTTGGATAATTTTTTTTAAACTAAATAAACTACCCAGTATGAACGTTTGTATAGCCCTTATTAAAAACATTCGTTCCTCAAGTTGTAAAAATGTGCTAATAACGTTATTCTGAGAGATATTTCCCTCTGCATTATGAACGCGCATCTAACCCATGGGACCGCGCCGCCCGGCACGTTCAAGTTACGTGTTCAGTACTACATGAGTTTCTCTTTAGCCATGGATGCACAATAACAACGGACCATATCGCCTTACTGCCAGCCCACGGAACTGTAATAATGGATATATTGCACGCTGTAATTCATCATTTGTACAATATTATACTACATGGGCTGTATGATGTAAATCTTGTACCATAAATGTTGTATTAAATAAAGGTAATATTACCGACGTAGATTAACGTTCCTGTAGCTTCTTATTGCACTTGCAATTGTTTTAGTTACTTATGGGCTACTTAACATGAATAATCACAGTTACTATCCTTTTACTCCATCACATTTCAAAAAGAAATAGGCTATTGTTATTTTAACTCCACCACAGTAATCCATCATCAGCTTTACTTTTTAGATAAAGTTTTAACTCACAATTAATCATAACAGGCTTCAACATATACATTTTGATATATTACCAAGTGGTTTCATGTACAACCCACACAAGTATCATGCTAAATGAAGCTCTGTTGCTTGGATATCACTAGATCCTGATGTCACCGTAATATAAAAGTACATAACGATTGATGTGTAACTTAACATAATTTACTAGCTAGCCGCTAGCTGCTAACTGCCGCCTCGTTAATATAAATCCAGTAACATGCTGTCATGAACGCGCGGTGCTGTTACGTGTACGCAAATTCACGTGCTTAATGTGAACGAGCCTTTTGGGCGGCGTGGTTAAAGTTGCGCATGCTCTATAAGTGCACATACGGGTACTTCTCAGGCATGCCGGGTAATCTGTGACGTTTCGCTCTCTCAAAAGTTGGGCCATTTTGTCCATAGATATATATAAACATGTACATAAACATGTTTATATATATCTATGATTTTGTCATCATGCGCCATTGAGCAACTCTCATAGGAATGAATGAGGCCCCGCCTCCCACGCTGTATCCAGTTCTTATTTAGTGATGGGAATTCCGGCTCTTCTTGGTGAGCCGGATCTTTCGGCTCCCAAACGGCTCTTCAGTTTACCACATATTATACCTTTTAATTAAATCAAATGTAGCCCTGTTTTGACTAATGATTTATATGTGTACACATATATCACTTAAATTATTCAATACATCCTTTGTACTGAAGTATTCAAAAGTAAAAATTACATGTTTAATATAAATGATTTGCTGTGGCCAATTGTTTTCATTGCATTTACAGACCCGTGTAACTCTCTGATACCACCCAATGAATGCATTGACTTGCTTGTAGAACCACGCTACACAAAACAGATAGCAACACCTATAACAACTATTTAAAAAGGGGCTACTGTATCGACCTATATAAAGTATATAAATATAGTTGTTTTTTTCAAAATACCAAAAAGATCCTGCATTTTATTTTTAGCCATGCCTCATTTCGCTCTATTTGCTCTTTCCAGCGCTGTTTTTGCAGGGGGCTGATTCTGTGAGATGCAGCTGACCACGCCCCCCTGCAGGAGAGGGGAGCGTGCTTTGAGATCAGCTGCTAGGCTGCAGCGGGGAGAAGAGGGGGACAAAAAGAGATCTCCGTCCTCCGTTTTTTATTCTTATAGAAGTAAGAAGAGAAGTAATGGGGCAGAAACCCTCCTTTTTACGCAGCGGTCCAGACATAGACATCAAACGGCGACACATTCAGTTGCCAGTTACTTTGGCATTAGGGCAGGGATATCTAGATACTTTCCAAGGTTTGACATAATGAATTGTGCTACTTTTAAAGCAAGCAACGATGTTTTCAAATATGTAATCAAAAAGCTCCTCAAAAACGCTATCGAAGCAGTTCCTGCCGTTGTTACGTTAGTTCAAACAGTAACAACGGACTACTTTTCTTAGCGGATGCATGTCAATTTAAATCAATACATAAAACTATTTTTTAAATCAATAAAATCATTTTCTAAATCCATAAAAGCATTTCAATTAATATTGAGAGTCATGTCGTTACTTTGTTGAGAATGTGGCCATGTGTAATAAGCGGGATAATGTGGACATTGCATAATGTGCCTTCATGCCGATCTAGATCCCTCCGCAAAAACAAAACAAAAAACGTCTCGTTCGTGGGCGAGAGCCGGCTCCCGTCGTTCACTTAAAAGAAGAAAGAGCTCGTTCGCGACCGACACATCACTATTCTTATTATACATCCATGAATCCACCCCCAGGGATTCATTGCGGTGTGAACGCGATCTGCTTTAGTTCAGAACTAAAAGAGTTCTCATGAACTGAGTTCTCATGAACTATTGTGGGAAAAGAACTTGGTGTGAACGTTCCTCTTATCTCTTTTGTGTATAATATATAGGCTAGTTGGATATGCATTTCAGTTTACACACATTAAGCTCCAAACCAACAATATTGCCTTTTCTTTGTCTTTCATTCGCTCCCATTATCAGACTTCAACTTGCCTTTGTGAGGTGAAAGACGCATATTTCTGTGCAGCAAACAACTAAAAAAAGAATCCACCGTGATATGATCAAGGCCAAATATTTGACAGCACGTGACCACGTTAGTGAGAAGAGAAGGTGGGAGCATATACCTCCCGAGCTTGACACATTCATAACATCTGATAAAGATAGGTCTGACCAGACATGTTCAGACAGATAGAATGAAGATGTTTGTGGATGTGTTCTGTGTCGCAGCGCTGATGCTCTGCTGCTCCAGGCTCTCCCACGGACGGCCTCCGGCCCACAGCCCCTCACTCACAGGTCAGACTCTGCACAATGATGAGCGGTTTGTAATAATGAATGCAGTTCTGTGCAATGCCTTTATTTTTACGTTGTGGTGTTTATATCTGGTCAATAAGTGTGTTTTGGATTGTTTGCATGCCTTAAGTTCTCGTTTATTTTTCAGAATCAGAATTAGAAATACTCTTTTTAACCTCAGCGGGAAATTGAATTTATTAAAAGTTGCTCCATTTTAATGTGAAATTGCAATTAAAAGAAAACCAGACAATAGATTATGTAAAATAAAATACAATTCTATGTTTCAAAACAATTAATCTAAACGTAAAGAAGTACAAATGTGCATATTGTTCCATAATATATAACGACAATAAACATGTAAACATATGTTTAGCACAATATATGTTTAAGAATGTAATTGTATAACAGTCGCTCCATTTGAACATTTCAATAAAATAAAAACATTTATAAAAATGAGAGAAGTCCAAGTAACAATGTGCACATTTGTCCAAAATATAAAACAACTATTTATATATGTAAAAATATGAATAATACAATAGCAGTTTATTTATAATGGTAATGCTGAAAACCAGATAATTGCTCTAAATGTACATTTTAGTATGTAAACTTGATGTAAATATTGCACAGTTGAATAATCTCCAAGGATACATATTATTTTAGTTTGTAATGTTGTTGTATTTTTTCTTTATTCAGAGCACACCTTTCCAACAACAGCATCCACAGTCTCTCATCCCGCCCCTCACTATGCACCGTGCTTTGTGGATGACATATTTGCAGCGCTGCGTGAAAGTGTTGGTAACGATGATGAACTCACAAACTCCAGTGTGAATCAGTTTGGAGTCTGCACGGCATCTGAACGCTCATCAGTCTTACTGCAGCTTGCTAAGGAAACACAGAGAAACCATAGGGATGGATTGGAGGTTTTGCCTCCAACTGGAGGTATTATTGCTCTCTGAACGCAATCATTTGTCTGAATGTTGTTGTTTTTTTAATCTTTACAGCATGTCTTGATTTCTCCATCAGTGATTTTGGCAGAGGAAAATGAAAGAGGAGCGCTCTTGTTGACCTTTGACCTCCCACAGTCTCCATCGCTCAAGCCGAACCCCGTGCTGCTCCTGGTGTTTGAAAGTCCGCTCACAGGAGGAAACCTGGACGTCACTTTCTCCAGTCCGTCGCTGCATCCTAACACACAGGTACAGACAGGCCTTCTGTAAATATTGTCTGTTTTAAAACTGTCCTGATGTCCCTAAATCTTTTGTAGATGATCATGGTTGTCTTCTTCTTTCTTTTCTACTACTGTTCTCTTCTAGTCTGTGTGCATTTCAGAGAAAACACAGTACATAATGCTTACAGGAAAAGCATCAGAGGGTGGCGTTCACCACAGATGGAGGATGTCTATTGAAACAAAAAAGCCTGATATGAGTAAGAAGTAACATCAGTAAGACATGTCATTAAGATATGTCATGAGTAGGAAATGGTAGTAATAAGATAAGACATTAGCAAGATATGACCTGTGTAAGATATGACATTTGATATCATTTCTTTTTTCATGTGCCCTCGCCTCACATGTCCTCTCTTTACAGACCAAAGCCTACGAGACATTCTTATTGGTGGAAAATCAGGAAGTACCACCAGCATGACTCCACTTCTGCTTTTCTCTGGGGAAGGAGGAACAGAAACAAGGTTTTCTTGGCTTTCATGTTCCTCATTGACATGTTACTCAACCATTGCCAGAGAGATGCTCAGCAACATGTTTCACTCTGTTTCTCAGATATACCCACACTTCATCCCCGGCCTCCTCACAGACCCCTTTTCTCTGTGAGCTGAAGAGGTTCCTGAGTGACGTCTCGCCTCAGGACCCCCCTGAGTCCCCCGCCCTGCAGCTGGACTCCTTAGACTCCTTAGACTCCTTAGACTCCCTGCCCCCCCCTGCCGCTCGATCTGTCCTCCAGTGACACCCTGCTTGCTGAACTGATCAACTCCCCCTCCCCGACCATCTTCTCCTTCACCAGCCGGGGCTCCATGTTTCAGGTGCATCTTGGGGAGTTGGCCATGTCTCCTGCTCTGCTGCAGGATGTGAAGCAGAGGTTGCAGCAGACTGTGACGCAGGTGACGGAGGTCATAGAGACGGAGGGGGAGGTCGGCTGCAGAGCCACAAAGAGGCTGCGAAGGCTCACCGAACTCAGTGCGTTTCCAGAGAAGGAGCCTGCAGCAGGTGATGTGTTCAAGAAAACTCCTAAAGCAGATGTTCCCAAGCTTTGTTGTCAGAGCTACAGACCCTTCAGATGAACTCAAGTACCCCTAATCAAGCCTCCTGTCAGATTCAACAGTGTTAAGTTAAGGTGGATTTCATTTTACATTGAATAATATGATAGCAATACAGTATGTTTCCCATATATTTGGTCTATTAATGTTTGGTCGGTTAAGGTTTTCATTCAACAACTTAAGGTGGCAGATGGTGGATATTTGAATCATTAATGTATTACTTTAAGCTGACATGTTTTTGTTCATCCATTTCAGGTATTTATATATTACCCTTATGGTTAGCTAACTATTTCATCGAATCCACACCTTAAGTTTACTATTTCAACGTGCTGCTTTTTTAGTAACTAAATATACTCAGCCGTTGCTTTTATTTGCATATATCCATTGCTCTAGCTTTAAGACATTTCAACCACTATCTTAAGCTTACTACATCAACTTATTTTCAATGTATCCCTTGGTTTTAGTAATGCTTACTCAACTAGTTTTTATCAATCAATCAATCAATTTTTATTTATATAGCCCAATATCACAAATGTTACATTTGTCTCAGTGGTCTTCACAGTGTGTACAGAATATCAGTATGACAATACAATTTTATGGAATATTTGATTTGATTGGATTTATTTTGAATGTGTAAAACACTAATACAACATTTTTACATGAGAATTGTTATACAATACAAAACTAATCAGTGTCAAATTAATATACAAAAATATTACTGATTCTAAATTATGTATAAACAAATAATCTACTTAATTACACATCCGAAAAGGGGTGGGAAGAAGTTTACACTTATTTAATCGCACCCCTTCTCTTTTTTTTCAAGGATTTCATAGTTTTTATTTTTAAAGCATAATTGTTTTTAATTATTGTTCATGGAATATTGATATGCAATATTTGATATTTAGTTTCATAGCTCACTCAATATGTGGATCAAATGTATTTTTTTCAAATGAGTTGAGCTTCTTCAGTCTTGTCACATGCAAAATAACTAAAGCCCCTGGAAATCACAGTCCTTAACAATGTAGACATTTATTCAAGTACTGTTCTGTACTTTTTACTTACCTACATGTATCTGACAGCTTGGGTTACTTTGCACATTCATATACTAGAAAATAAATGAAATAAATAAATAAATCATCTAATAGATAAGAAGCACTATAATCAATAAAGATACCTGGCAGTGTGAAACTCACTTTGTAACTGGTGCTTGTGTTCCCTCTAGAACAGGAGCGAGCCAGTACCGTGCTTTCCTTCTGCTGAGGGCCCTGCAGATGGTGGCCCGTGGATACGAGATGCAGAGAAGCCTGCGATCCACCAGAGACAGCACTGGCAAGCAAGTGAACGCCACCACGTGCGGGCTGAAGAGCCTCACCGTGTCCCTGTTCAACGCATTCCTGGGTCCCAACACGGCTAGAATCAACAACTGCCAAGGCCTGTGCGTTTTCCCCCTGAGCGACCCCATCTACCACACCTTGCTGCTCATCTCCTACATCGAGAATGGGAACGTGAAGGAGCGGGCCCCCTGCTGTGTGCCCATAGCCTACGATGCCCTGGTTGTGATCAAAGTGAAACTAGAAGGGACTTACATCTGCCTCCAACCAAACATGTTGGCGACGAAGTGCGGATGTCGCTGAGTATGTTTTCATCTTGTAGTTTTATTACGACACAAAATATGTTTTGCATATTTAACTTGTAAAACTATTTTAAATATCACACGTTACTATCATTTATTTATTCCTACAGTATTAATACTCTGGTAGTCAGCAATGGACAGTACATTAGTACATGTATGTACTTTTCTTACATATAATTTTGAGGGAATTGTACTTATTTACAATTCTTGCTAATTTATACTTCTATTTTAGGATTAGGAGGCAAGTATATTGTGTGCTTTACTCCAACCTAAAAAATAGCTTCTCCTTCTACAATTACATCATTAAAATGGTGAACACGTTGATGCATCAATAATTATAATCCAATAATATAACATATTTCATTTTGAAATGGGCAATTGCAGCAGAATGAGTACTGTCCAGTTTTGGTGTTTTAAATATACTTGACTATTACTTTTGTAATTTTACTGTCAAATTACTATTTTTATTTCAATAAGGGTTTTGAGTTCTTTGTCCACCTCTGCTTTTAGTAAATGTGCGTGTTCATTCACAGAGGTCTCTTTATGCTATATGCTTTCACATACAGTATAAAGACAATGTATTATCTGCAGTATTTTCACACTCAGTTAAATATAAGTATCACCATATTTTTCTGTAAATATGTTTTATTACAATGTTTTTAAAGGCAAACTTTACAGACAATATAATACTTTGTTACACTGTGGCAGTAAATTACAGTTCTAAATCAGTGATGTGAAAAGGTCAATGTAATGTTTCCTGTCTGACAAATGAAATAAAAAATGGATTAGCATTCTGCATCTTTATTTTATTAAATGCAAGGTACTGTATAATGAACATGATTTGTGTTCTCAATTTGGAAACATGCTGTTGTGAAAGTTGATTACATTTATTTTTTCAAATCATACTTTAGGTTTGGGTTTCAGGATCGACTTGTTGCCAATCGGCTTTTTTCTTCTTCTTATCGCTCCGAGTTCTTCAGTTCCCCACCACTCCATGAAATTGTCCCATAGTGATATCTGCAGACAGGCAACAGGAAAAAACAGTCTGAGTTCACAAGTGATTCCTCAAATACACACAATATACCACCACATGAAAGCAGAACATATCTTTATAAATTCACTTCAGTTTTGTTCAGTTTTTTTTATACTTGTACCCTTTCAAAATGTCACGTATATAGTGATGCAATGAAGTGCAGTCATACTTGCAATGCAGTGAGACCGATACTTACCAATAGTAAGTGTGTATCGCTAATGCATTGAACTTATTGGCCTAGCAGCATTGTTATAATTTGTATTATACACTTTTATCCAAAGCGATTTACAAACACTTCAACACTGTATGCATGTCTACATTTCTAAATGATGGGCCTAAGAAGTGTAGAAATGTTGTATGTGAGGGACTACGGATGGAAATTAGCTCAAAGCTAAAATCCGGCATGTTTACGTTTTAAAGCATTATTTGTTTTAAATGTTCATCAATATGTATCGTCCCTCTTCAAATAAATGATTAAATGAAAATAAATGAAGTAAATGCTTTAGGGTCTCTTTTTATTTCCATATTTTGACAATCTTTTCTTTAAACTTCTGTAAGCTTGATGATAAAAAGGTAATAGCTTAGTGCTGACTATTGACTGTACGGATCACATTCACATCATGCAAACGGGATAACATCAAGAAGTCTCATCGTTCAGTATAAAGTACCTTTAAACTGCACAGAGATTCAGTATAAACAAGGCCTCTATTGATTTATACCACTGAGTAGATAAGAAATATAAATAACATCACAAAAATCTTACCCTTTAAATCACTCAACATAGAAACCAATAGGTTTGGGTAATCTTTGCTAAAGAGAAATACCTGAAATATTGAACCATCCTGCAGACTTCCAACAAAAGACCTTATTCCTGTCTCCTCAACAAAAGAATCCATTGCATCTAGAAAAAAATATATATATAAAACACAAAAAAATCCTGCTGAATGTAACAGAGGAGAAAGAGTTTGTTGTGTAAAAAATATTAAAATAATACACTGTAACAATAATACATATATGTCGTATAGAGAAGTATCCATGCAAGTTGCATACTGTATTACTGCATAAAGACGAAACAAACAGTAGCGTAACAAGTACTTAGATCCTTTACTTTATTCAATAAGGTTAGAGTGCAAAAACTATCAAAAAAGTATCCGGTTAATAGCTCTTTTCATGGTGTTGTAGAACATTATAATTCAGTTTTTAACACAAACAAATACATATTGTTTTAATGTTACAGTTTGCCAATGTTGAGCCAAATCTAGATACTTTTTAAAATACTGGGTAGATTGTACAGTGCATTGTATTATGTAAGTATATGATGTGTTTTTATATGTACAAAATAGCTAAAAGCTATGAGTGTTACATAAATGTAGTGGAGTAAAAAGTCCAATATTTGCCTCCAAAATATAGTAAATCAGATGTATATGAAACATCGAATAAAAACACTAGTAAAGTAAAGAACAAGTATGTCAAAATAGTAACTGAGTAAATGTACTTTATCACAGTCCACCACTGAAAACAAACATATTTTTAACATATAAAACGTTGTGTATCATGACTCACCGTGCAGTTCGCTGACTCCTGAGCTCACCAGCAGAACAACCAGAGCCAGCACTAGGCAGCGATTCATGGTAAAACCTTTCCATGGGTTAGGAACATCACTCAAATGTTCGATGGACAAAATACGGTCATAACCCGACACTGTGGACAAACACGAACAAGTCAGAGGCTTGTTGCAATACAATTCACAATGTATTTATTTTATTTTAAATTATGGATATTTGTCTTACTTATGATGTTTCAGACACTCCAACTCTCCCTCCTTAATTCCTGTACTCCTATATTAATAGCTGGTCACAACATTAAAGTAAGTAAAGATAAGAAATTTAGTTTTTGACATGCATAAGGACAATTGAAAGTATATGCGCCTGTATTGCTGTGTGCACAGTCTTAAAAATGGTCTCATAGGCTTAAATAAGCCAGCTTTAAATAGTCACTTGGCTAATCACGATAATGATATTAAATGAGTTAGGTTATATATGAGCATCTTGATACATTAAGAAACGTACCTGATTTGAGCCTTCAGTTGTGTCTCAGTATTGAAGTGAAGGAGGTTGTTTTGACAATGTTTTCAGTTCTGTAGGCACCAGAGACGGCGTTAAACACAACCTGCACCATGCACCATGCTCCTTTGCTCCTTGATTGACAGGCACAGATGACAGTTGTTGAAAAAAGGAAAATGACATTTACAGAGACTGTTTATACTTACCAGGCTATGGGTGGACAAGTTTAAAGAGCATTAAACAGCATTAGCCTATTATACTAATTAATTGCATTTAGTTAGATGCCTAATGGTATACAAATAATAAAACTATTGCTCTTTTGGGAACATCCAAAATAAGGCTTCTCTTTTGTACCTTATAAGTCTGTTTAGTACCAGTAAGTGACAGGTGGAAGTACTTTTACTCATGTTCTACACTGTATTGAGTTGCAAATGTGAAGTACTAACATTTACCTGTTTCCATTGTGTGTACTATACTCAATTAGATTTCAAAGGGTAATTTTGTATTTTTATATAGCTCAAATTAGCTCCACTCCAATAAGCTCCACAATACTTAAATGCTGCATATGGATAAATAGGTTATCCAAATCAACCTCACTAAACACAACAGTTTAATAACAGTTTTGTTACCTATAAAATACAAATATGTTTACAATTTTGCCTACAATTAGGTAAAGGAGTCAGGCAGATTATACAAAAAAAGTATACATTATTATTTAGGCCTACTAGAGATTTCCTCTTACAAGTTAACTATTTTTTTGGTTTAATAGTTATGTATATTTAAGACTCAAATTAATAGAATGACTTGTTTCACATGTACTATACGTAAAATATATGATCAATAGGTGTACCAGGAAATTTAAGATTAAATGCACACAATTTTATCAGAAAAACCCCCCAATGTTGACATAATGATTAGTTTTACACAATGTATGTTAAACTAATAAATGTGCTTAGTTTTACGAGTTATCAACGCTTTTAATTTCCCTGCTGTCGGACAAATAAAGGATTTCTTATCATTACACACTATTTGTAAAATTAATAAATGAGCCTAGTTTTATGTGTGCCTCTCATCCACGCTTCTAATTTCCCACAAACAAAGGATTTATCATTCTGATGCTTTCTTAAGATAAATGTGCTTGTTTATTTATTAGTGAAGTGGTTCATTATGTGTCATATTTTCACAGCAGTACGTCATTCAGGGCAGGACCCTCCCCTCTGAAATACTGCAGCCGGCTCTGAGCGCAGCATAGGGTAGAGGAGAGACAGAGAGACGCTGGTGTGGACGCTGGCCTTATGGTTAAATCTAACCTACAGACGATTTTGAATAGTCATTGTTTTGTTAGAGAAAAAGAGAGAAACTTAACCGAAATGCCTGTTATTGAACAATCCAGTAATAAACCTGAAAGTGGAAGGTATGTTGTTGTAGTCGTTGTGAATTGTTGTCATAAGCTAGCAAGCTAGGATACATTTAAAAGCCGCGGCCTAGCTAAGGGAGCCGTATATTTCCTGGAGTGCTAGTACTATTACCTGGGCTTCTTGTTTACATAACAGCACTATTTATTCAGGTTTCCAAATTACATCGTCAACCGCGTTTGGTTTAATACCTTTTTATAAAAATGTCTTAAAATATCCACTCTTCATTCCTCTCATTTATCCCGAATGTTTGACATTCAAGTAACATTGGTATTTATCTAGCAAATAGACAAAAATATAATCATCACTGCTGTTGATATCCATGCCCTAGCTTGCTAGCTAATGTGAAATGCCATTGACATGCGTTACCTAAAAGATGAGATGCTAGCTAGCTAACATTTAATGTTGCCGTCTTATACATTCATGACATTTTATCAATGTTAAATATTTAAAAATCTTATGTGTACAAAGTTTTAATAACTGTATTGTG